AAATATATTGTAAAGAAATTAAAAGAAAACTGTTAAAAGTGACATTAAATTTCATATTTCTTAAGAAAGGCATCTAATTAATTTAAAGGTACCTTTCTTATGAAATTTTATCAGAATTGTATATAAATACTATAATTTTATATACATTTATTACATTCTACTGTTATTTGTATTTCATTCATTTTATTATTAATTTTGATATTTCATTTATGGAAAAATGTCGTAACTGAGATTAATATAAAAATAAGATCATATAGATTTCATAAAGATGATACTGATACTTGAAGGTACCCTTCTCAGTTGAAATTGAAAAATCAAATTAACTTCTCCAAACGTGTTTCGCAAAAGTAAAGGCCTTAACAGCGGAGAACAATGCTTAACTCAAATAACGCAACTTAATTATATTCTGGCTGGTCTTCCGTATTTTTATAATTACAGCTCGATTATAAGCAAAAATTACATTTCTTAATTACTGGGGATCTTCTGATTAGTCAAATGATACAATTTACAACGCGCTAAAAAAGATCTATCTCATAAGGACACGGAGCCTTGTAAAATCTATTATAATTAATGAAATAACAAATAATTGTATTAAAATTCATTGTTCATCGAAAAAAATTTTTGCTTTCAGAAAATATTGTCCATATTCATAAAAACAACTAAAAGCAAATAAAAGCATTTGAAATTAAATAATATCTTTTTTTATTGAGTTTTATATGTTACAATTCAGAGCTGATTTTCAGGTACTGCGTATCCAATTAAAAAAAAAAAAAAAACATGATTTGCATTCCTCAAAGCCCTGTTTTTTAATTATTGTAATCACTAAAACCGATGCGTTCAATTTAAAGCGTTTTCATAAAATTAGTTACCTCTTGTAATAAATATTTTTAAAAATATTTCTACCATGACTTTCAGAAAAAAAAAAACATATTTATAATAATTTCGATCATCTGTGAATAGTTCCTGAAAGTTTCATTAACATCCGATAGTTATTTCTATTTTATACGATTTTCAAATTAATGTATCATACCAAAAAACGTGCTAAAAATTGTCTATATTATTTACTAGTTCCATTGATACAAATAGAAACAAGGTTTTTTTAATCAAAATTTAGAATCTTTCTAAAAAGAAGGAATATTTTAAAAAAATAATTAAAAAAAAACTTTGGTCTTTCCTCTTAATAATAACATAAGCATTTAGACAATAAAATTTTGTTTTCGGCAAGGTTGGCGTCTTTTTCATCAAGCTATGCTCTTTTTTTAGCGATTTCGTAGAGGTACCTACCTTAATGTAAAAAAATCAACATTTCGGTAGCTATTTGGCTGCATTCTTGCTCTATGGAAACTTTCATGTCAGTGATTGTTGCTGGATTTGTAGAATAAACTTTATCGTTTAATTATCCCCACAAGAAAATGTCTAAACTGGCTGTTCTGTGAATGGCGAGGATATTCCGTAGAAAACTCGTCTTCCGACTCATCGGTTGAGTAAGATTTCATTCAGGTATGATTGTACATAACGATGGTAGTGTGATAATGCACCATCTTACTGAAAATAAAATTCCTCATCTCCAAAACCTTCTCTAATTCTTCGTATTATAAATTGTTGCAGCTGACTCAAAACATGTAAATGCTTGCAGACATTTTTCCAAGAAGCTTCTCCTCTCAATCTTCAGGTTTGATCATTTTTTGTGTGTATGTGTGTAAGTGCGTGTATGTGCGTGTGTGTGTTTGTAGGATGAATAATAGTATCTGAAATAAAAGTGAAAGACGATAAAACAAAATGGAAAATTTTATCTAAGACGCGTTTTTCCACGGAAGCGTATAATCTCTTTGGCTTCCTCAGTTTAAATGAAAGAAAGACAAAACTGTATGTGAGAAAAATGTCTTGAAATTTGTCTTTCTTTCATTTAAACTATAAGAAAACCATAGAGAGTATATCGACTTTATGAATTCAAGCAGAGAACCAGACGCCATCATTTTCCTGTTGAAATTGCTAAAAGCCTAAGGCTAAGTTATATTCTGAACCGTAACGAAGAAACATTTTAGGACCGATAGAATAACCTCCAAATTTCAGTAAAACGATTATCAAAGGAAACAGGTCTATCAAGGAACTCAATTTAACGGACTGTTAGAAAACAATCCTTTTAAGTTGCCCTAGATCAAGGAAATTCGTGTCACTGATTCCAAACAGGTGGATCAGGAGGCGACGTCTAGTCGAATGGGCCTCGATGTGCTCAAGATTTATTAGGACTTGATTCTCTTCTATGTTTCCATTAGAAATAATTAATCTACCGGAGTGACGTAAGTCAGCAGCGCGACAAATAAAATCGGTGGACTAAGTTGAAGATTCGGTATTAAACTATATGTTTGGAAATTGCATTTACTTTCAAATTATTTCACAAGAAAAGCATAGATTCGTGTCTTGTCCATACGACTATGGATGGTTTAAATGGTAGACTAGACTAGAGTTTATGAGTTAATGTCTGAGTTCAAAACTGTGGAGAACGCAACAAGAAAAAAGAGAATAGGACTTGAAAGAACTTCATATTCCAAAATGAAGAGCAGGTTGCCAAAATATCAAGAGCGCCAAGAAATACTACGATGTAAATTGAAAACTTAAAATCTTAGTGGCATCCATTAATGAGTACTCTTCAGTAGTTGACTATTTGCCTGCAGTATCATATAACTTAAGGTTAGAAGGATTTTTTCTTACTAAATTGTTTTATTAACGATATTTGTATTTCGAATAATTATCATTTGTGTATTTCCTCTTTTAATTTTGACATTTTTATTGCAATAAAGAATTTTGCATTTCGAATAATTATCATTTAGTCTAATTTTCGTTTCGATTAATTTTTATTCAAAGAACAATATTCATATAATCAGATGGACACCAAAATTGTCCCTCACCCTTCTTGCGCTCTGTGACTTTGGTTGTTTCCGAAGCTTAAGGAGAACCCCAGGGGTAATTGTTTGGAAAACACTGAGAAGGCTATGACAAGGATCCTGGGCACCTTCACTTTCGATGAATTCTATGGGATCTTCACAGATTTGTTTGAGCGCTACAAGAAGTGCAATGAAGTCAGTAGATCTGACTTTGAAACGTTTTGTACGTCTTTGAAATAAATGTCTTGAAAAAGTCTCAAAACTTTTGAATGTTTTTTTTGTAAATGATTGATTTGTCTGTTTAATAGTATATCAACTCAATTAAGGATCATTTAATCCCGAAATTTAATTTTTTTGAGGTGGGGGGGGGAATTGACGGTAATAAAAATGTTATTCTGCTTTCACAATTGAATACATGGTAGATGATACTCAGCTTTTGTGCTTCTACATGTTTGTGTGGACGTAATAACTAGAGGCGGTAATATTTTTTGTGTTGTTATATTTTAGGATATAGTTTGATTTAAGGAATTATCGGGTATTATATGAATTCATGTCAAGAAAGAATTCATTTTAGTTTTTTTATAGCATTTTAAAATGGATTTAAAAACGCTAGTATTTTAAAACTACAATTTGTTAATATGTGTTTATTGTTGTATTAATTATTAAACTAATTTCTCATAGATTTCTGCTCCCTGTTCACAAAATGAACAAATAAATGTACAAATAGTGTGTGCTTGTAGGATTTTTATTTATATAGTCGTTGGGAAACTTGTGTTTTGATTGTATCACTGCTCACTTGGCACAGGGACGACAATGATTCAGCCCACCATCAAGAAATGTTCGCCACCTCCTGATCTCTGCGGAATGTGTATGGTTGATTTTGCGTCCGCCGTTAATTAATTCTGATAAGTTTTCTTATTATCGTACTGTAAACGTTTTGTTTTTAAAAATCCTGCATGAAAATGTATTCTCCTCGCACTTTCTATCGTCCATCATCATGACTGATGCTATCCTCCAAGAAAGTGACTGATTGCGCCTTCTCGGGGTCACGTTCTCAGTTCACATGAAGTGGAAAGACTATATTGAATCCAATGCTAGATCAGTTGCTAAGAAAGTCGGTTCATTGTGTTGTGCGAGACAATTTTTCTCTTCAGAATCTATCCTACATATCTATACGTCTACCATTCGTCCATGATTAGATTACCGCTGCCACATATGGTCCGGTGCTCCTGCTATAAAAGATTCTTGATAAAATCCAAAGAAGAATCAGCAATATTATTGGTCCCGATCTGGCGTCTCGGCTTCAGTCACTTTCCCATGGCTGTAAAGTTGTTTTTCTTTTCAGTAAATAGTTTCAGGTTAATTGCTTCGATCAGCTTTTCGCTATGGTACGTAGACTTCATGAATTTAAGTGTAGAACTAAACTGTCAACAAGGACTCATCAATTTACAGTTGAATTGGCTAGATGTAACCCTAAGTACAGCTAAGAGCTTCTTTTCTCGCACTTCTCCCCCGTGGAACTCACTTCCGACTCCATGCTTTCCAGTTAATCTAAAAATTTTAAATGCAATGACAATCGTTATCTGCTGTCTTCCTGGTTACACTTTTATTGCTCTAGCTTCTTAGTAATGCTTCTGCTTTATTTCTGGCTTTAAATAACCTAAAAAAGGTCGATAAGCCGTAAATAACAAATCAATCAATATTTTTTGGAGATAATGATTTATTGATACAGTTCGGGGGAGGGGGAGATGGATTCATGCCTTTCTTAAAAGTATTTGCACCTAAGTGAATATAAAGACTCCGACTGGAACTGAAACTCGGCTCTCGAATCTCCAATTCCCAACGTTACACCACCCGCACATCCATGGTTACAGCATCTGGTGTTCCCATGCGATTACCCATATATGCACTGACCAGGCTTGACGTTGTTTAACTTCGCTAACTGCACATGAACCGATGTTTCAAGCCATACCCACCACCGCACATCCAGGCTTACAGTACCTGGTTTTCCCAAGCGCTCACGCATCTAAGAATTGACCAAGATCGACATTGTTTAACTTCAGTAATTGTACAAAAACCGGTGTTCCAACGTAATATGATCGTAAACCATACCAACAATACTTCCCAAGCGGTCACCCATCTATGTACTGACCAGGATCGACGTTGCTTAACTTCCGTGGTCGTATAAGAACTGGTGTTTCAACGTGGTATAGTCGTAAACAATACCACCAGCACATCGAAAATTACAGCACCTGGTTAACCCAAGCGGTCACCCATCTAAGTATTAACCAGGTTCGTTGGTGCTTAACTTTGGTGATCATACGAGAACCTGTGTTTCAACATTATAAGGCCGTCAGCTATACCACCCTCACATACAATTTTACAGCACCTGGTTTTCCAAAGCGATAACCCATCTAAATATTGACCAGGCTCGACGTTGCTTAACTTCGATGCTTCACGTGATATGGTTGTAAGCCGCTTGATCTATAAGGACAAAGATTCTTTTATATTATACTAATGGCGAGCTCACCAATTATGTCCCCCAAAGAAAAACACTGTGGTTGTTGTTTTCTGAAATTAAGTCATATCGAGAAATAACGAGCATTTATATTTTATAGTAACCCCGGGAGAAATGATTACTAGTCACTGTATTACGGAGCATATGAAAAGTCTTTGTTAATACAAAACTAACAACAGAAAGAGACTAGTAAAAATTAGAGATAATTAATGTCTGCTTCTCTAAATCGCAAAATACGCCCCAGCGAGTTACTTGGTTCAGCTTTATATTTATATAAAAAGTCGCCTTAAATCGAGGCATCTAGTAAAACAAGCCAGGCGTTCTTTTGTAATTACCTATTTCAGCGGTCAGAATAAGGAGCTTAGTACTTGATAACTTGCACAAAAAAAGCATTTCCTCTGAGTTCTCATTGACGTCACAACTATTTGTTTCCATGTGAATCTTGTAAAATTATTTTCCTGAGAATTAAAAAAAATAAATAAATACCCAGGAAATCTTTGCAAAAACATAGCATGTGAAAACATAACATGTAACTGGATCAAAAGAAAAACGTTTTAGAAACGTCAGAAAACGGATCAACTATGGATTCTGTTAAACATTGTTTTAATTTTAAAATAATGTACATGAGAATAAAAACTTTCGAGCGGCGATTGCTTGCTTTTGAGCAAATCCATGATTTTTCTTGGGTCATTTATGTTAACCTCTGACTTCAAAGCTCATGCGAATAAAAACAGAAAAAAAGACAATCGTCATCTCATGTTAATAACATTTACACACGCAGAGAGAAAGAGAAAAGCACGCGAACGTACATAGAAAGTAAGCTTTGAAGATCACAAGCACCGTGGAATTAGCTGTTTAAAATAGAAGAGTGAGAAAAAAAATCACTAAAAGATGACATACAAAAGACTAAACTGCAATAAACCTTTTCGGTTTTTTTTTTATTCTAGATTTCTTGATAAATGTGGCTGATTACCTCAAGGCAATTTTAAAGAATAAAAAATTTCATGGCAAAGCAATTCACGCATTTATAAACAGATTCACAACTATTTGTGTCTTTTCCCCATCAGCTCCCGACACCAAGCCTAATATGAAACAATAATATTTTTTTAGCATAACGAAGTGTTTCGAACAATTCGTTATAGTCCAAGAATATTATATTAGGCTTAGCACCCTATGTTGTTTAAGACCATGTCCAACTATTTGGGCTTTGTGTCCAACAGTTCAGGGCGTCAATCCTAATATTAGACTAGAATTTCACAAGCATAGCCAGGACAGATCTGCGTCCTGGGTATGACGATAAACTACATCCGTATCCTGGGTAAGACGATAAACTACGTCCAACAGCAAGGCCTCTGATCAGGAGGTTTTGAGGAGCGTGGAACCACCTCTTAATTGCTGGTGTTCTCAGGTGTACTCTGAACCGGGGTGGTAACACCTGTTAGGGTCCCAGCTGTGGGCAAATACTTAACCCCAAAACTGAGGTAAAAACATTTTAAAATTGTAAAAATAGGTTTTAAATTAGGTTTTAATACCAGAAATACTTTGTAAAAACTACCAGAAGTAAATTTAAAAAAAACTATTGTTTTTGAAAAAAAAGGATATTACCAGCAAAACGTTAAAAAAAAAAAAAACTTTTGCCAGCAATACGTTTTTGAAAATAATATTACCAGCTATACATTTTTGAGGAAAAAATATTAACAGAAAAAAAAATGTTGTCGGCATTAAATGACCCATTAAGGTTGATATGCCGTAAAACAAACCAAGCCAAACCAAACCAAACCTGGTCTTCGACAGTTCTTTACCGATATTCCTGCAGATACTGGTTAACGACATTCATTATATTAGACTATAATACTTTTTTCTTGCTCTGTTGCTGCGTGTTTCACTGAATGCCACTCCTACTTTGGTCCATCAAGCCTACCCTGCACCAATCCTGCACACCCACGTTGTGTTTCAATATCGACAGAAATATCGGTAAAGAACTGTCGATGATCAGGCTTGATTCCTCTTTGTCTTGGTTATGCTTGAAACTCAATTAACTCCAACAACTCATTAACAAGTGTAAAAATAACAACTTTTATTCATGGTACTATGACTGATTAAGATCATGAATACGTAAACAAAATGAATTTGAAGAAGTTTCCCCGTATAAAGAATTCTTAAGCAGTGTGGAAGAGGCTGACTGGCAATTGTAGTTATGTCTAAACAGCCGAGAGTCGTTCAAATATCGAAATAAAGGGCAGCTGTTCAAGGGAGTTTAAAAAACAGCACAGTGAACAGGACTTTAGCTGATTGAGGTACGTCGGTCATCCGACAGCGAGAGTGTTGGTCTACTAGCGTCGAGACCAGTTACATCTTACCTCTCTGCTCTTTCTCTGACTGCTTTTTATGGGCGGGGGTCCAAACACCAATTGAACTGCTCTGATTGGTCAGCCAATAATACTGCTTAACTAATGGTCGTGTGTTATACGCCTTGAAGGGGAGGAAGGAAAGCCAAAGCCAAGAACCCATTATGATTGATGATCTAATCAAAATAATGGCTCAGTGTTGTAACTGTCGGAGGGGAGAAACGAAACTCTATCTTTTATGGGCGGGGGGTCCCCAGAACCTCCTCTCATCGGCTTTGAAGGGGGAGGAAGGAAAGCCAAAGCCAAGAACCCATTATGATTGGACAATCAAAATTGTGGCCTTGCATCGCTCATATCCACCTTCACTGGAACATTTTACACGCATCCACCAAATCTCACCGGCATTTAACCTGATTATCACAGGTATAATTATCACTTTCATCTGATAGTGTTTCATATCCCTGATCAAAACAAGTGTGACCTGTAAATATTTGCTTTGTATCACTCATTCTAACGAACAATTCATTTATCAAATGAAAAAAAAACACTTAAGTTAAACAGACCCAAGACTTTGGCTAATGACCAATCCCGCCTAAGCTTACAATTTCTCACCTCTCCATAAGTGAAACGAACCAGAAAATTCACAGTATCGCATTGTTTTAACACGAAAATATTTTTCTTTAGAAATAAAATGTAGATCGCCAGCCAAACAATCATGGTGTCATACTTTTGTAGGACAACTTCGTGTTTGGAACAATTCGTTATGGTCCAAGAATATTAGGCTTGGTATACTGTGTTGTTTAAGACCATGTCCAACTGTTTAGGCTTTGTCTTCATCAGCTCAGAACACCAGGCCTAATATTAGACAATAATATTTTTCTTGCATAACGAAGTGTTTGGAACAATTCGTTATGGTCCAAGAATAATATATTACAAGTTGGGCTTCGTCTACATCAATTCCAAGCCGAATATTGGACTATAATATATTTGTAGAATAACAAGTGAATTTTGTCTCTATAAATTAAATGATCAAATCTACAAAAGTCTGTAAAAGTAATAAGGAATATTAGGGTTGTACAATTCCATATGCGGCCGACCGTCAATTACGAATTGTTATTTTAAAACTGTTAATCTTCTTATTTACGTTATTTACATGTGGAATATTGTCTTCGTCTTTATTATGATCACGTTTTGGCTTAATTCACAATTATTAGGTTGTCACACATGAAATGACGTATTTTTTGGTTGGTTGTTGCCCCGGTCGTCTAACGAAGTAACTTCAATAGTATATTAAAAAAATCTTGGCTTACTCCTGACTCTTTTTCTTCCCAGATAATTTTTCTTTCAATATATTGTTACTTACAATGAAAATGATTACAATGAAACAATGTCGAGTAATCTTACTATATGTGTACGCACTGGAAAAAAGAACCATTTTTGCATCGAATCGTTTAATGCGATGGGGAAATGGATTCTCTTTGACAAGAGTAAGAGAGTAGGTCAATGGTTAGATGCAAGTGAATTATCAAAACAATACCCAAAACCTCCACTGCGCCCTAAAATACAGTAACCTAATGGTTACTGTATGGTGGTCTTTCAAAGGGGTTATTCATTATTCATTCATGTTTCAAGGGAAAACAATAACAGCAACCTCGTACTGTGGAGAAATTGAATTTATACACGATAAATTGAAAAGGAAACATCCTCGACTTGTAAATAGGGATGTGGCCCAATTTTGCTGCACGGTCGCAGACTTTTCAATCAACTGCCCAAAAGCTGCATAACCTGAATTATGAAATTTTGCCTAATCCTCTATATTCACCTGATATCTCTCCATATCTCTCCTACTGATTATCACTTATTTAAGAATTTTGAGCTTTTCATACACAATAAAACATTCTCCAATAAGGAAGAAGTAATCGAAGCATTTGAACTTTTTATTACATCAAAAGATGAGAATGTTTTTAAAGATGGGATCAAAACATTAGAGGTACGCTGAAGAACAGTCATTCATCAACATGGTGCTTATTTCAATTAATTAAATTAGTTATTTGACATTTCAGAAGCGTTTTATTAATTTCCTATAAATTGCGTCAGTTTATGTGTGAAAACTTAATACCATGACATAGCGTAATAAGACTTTGCTTCGTGAATTTTGTGACATAATAATTGTGAGTTCGATCTCTGGACAGGGTAGTGTGTGCTCAGCATCAGTGGAAACGGGCGAGTCATAACTGAGCAATACTAAAATAAGATATCCACATACGTGGGCAGTGCAACGCGAACAATGTAACCCCCCCCGTAGATTAAATGAAACGTGTAAAAGTTGGTCCTCTGTGTCGTGCCAGAAAACTTTTTTTTCGTCTGAGTAAATACTTCAAATCTATAAATCAACCATCCGTCCTTGTATGGAATATTGCTATCATATATGACCTGGTGCTCCCGCTGTACGTGTCGAGGTCTTTGACAAAATCCAGAGACGAATAAGCAAAATGATAGGTCCTGATCTGGCACCCAGTCTATCTCACAGACGTGCCGTGGCCTCCCTTTGTCTCTACAAATATTTGTAGCAACTGTTCCGACGAGCTACTTTCGCTGGTTCCCTGACTACATAAGTTTAAGCGAGCTACTAGGCTGGCATCTCGGTCCCACACTTTCACTGTCAAAACAGTTAAATGTAACCATCTCCTCTCAAATAGCTTCTTCTCCCGCGCTTCCCGTCTTTTGAACATCATTCCCCTTACTTGCTTCCCCGATGACTATAATCTTCAAATATTCAAGTGTAATGTCAATCGACATCTGACACCCTGAGCTTGTTCCCCGTCCTTCTCTGCAACCTTTCCTCAAACATGCCTCTTTACTCTTGTTCTCAATCCTCTGTAACAACTTGCATGCTATTGGCACTCCTGCCTTGTTTGGGGTGAATTGCCTAAAAAAAAAATAATGAGGCCAATATTGCGGATGTAAATAATGAGAACTCCAAATTGCAGAAATTCAGACAGGCATTCACACTGTGATTAAAGGTTACAGACGACAAAAAGGAAAACGCTAAATCTCTCATGCGTAAAATAATTGTTTATTCACCTCCGCTTTTCATCAATTAATATCAGCGCGTCGGGGGTATGTGGTTTTGCGGTTTTCTACGAAGGAGAATCTCCTTCACGCGATGATGTGAGAAGCTCTTTGCCTTTTACTTCTGAAATGAGCGCTTATATATCCTCCTGTCGTCTGGTTGTCCCATGTGTGCATAACGCAAGCACTGCTGGGGCAACAACCTGTTTACATGTGGCAAACAGCTACGATCCCTCTGTGAGTCTATGAGGACAACTTTCAGCTTAAGCCTCTGATGCACGTGATATGATACTTGGTGAAAAGTCATTTTTGGTTTCATCTGTGGTGATCCCAGTGTATAGTGGGACAAACTTCTCTAGAACAAAGGCTCTTTATAGGCAGTAAATTCGATTCTGTTTCTGTTATTTCTTGGCGTGAATAATATACTGCATACACGTTCAGTAAATGATTGTAATCTGCTCATTACTTCCAGAGCGAAGAGTAACAGTGAGAAAAGAGCGGGGATCGCAGATATCAGACGTCAACATCAGCTCCCACAGATAGTGAGGCTGCTTTTACATGCAGCAATTATAACAGAACCCACCATTCTCAGATATGGGGTGTAAAATCACAACAGACGATGCAGCCCAACCAAAAAATAGACCAACTCCTGACATATACCCCATTGTTTTACGAAACCGAAGAGGGTTAGCAATTTTTAAAACAATTTTTTCTAGATATTATAAGTTCAAATAAACTTATGTAATATATTTATAACAAGTTGGATTGATGTCATAAACACCCCCTGGTTTTTTGAACAGGACTAGAGGCTTGTCTCTTGATTGCTGTTCAGTATTGGATTTCCAGTTCCTTAAAGTCTTTTCATTCTCTCCCCCGCCCCCAGTAGACCCTTAGTGGCATTATCGCTTTGCTTGGGGTGAATTATGGCCCATCGTCGGATTCACAATCTTCCCCAGTCTTTTGAACAGAAGTTTATCCCTTGTTTCCTGTTTAGGATTGGGTTTCCGGTTCCTTCTAAAGTCTGTTTCGTCTGCTTCAGCTCTGTGCTCTTAACGGCTCTGCTTGAACTCTGAAATTTTATTCAATAACTATTCATTTCATCTCTTTTCTCTGCTCCATCAATAGGAGTAGATAGGTTCGCATATCGTCCAGTTCACACTCCTCCCGGTCTTTTGAACAGTAGTAGAATTTTCTCCCTTTTTCCTGTTTACAATTGGGTTTTCCTTTTCCTTCTAAAGCCTTTTCCTTATTTAACCCTCTAACTTGAGTGACTCTTGTACCGAAGGAATATCATTGTAAAAAAAAGCTCAGCCCTGTACACTTGGTCGAATGAGAGCCGAGCAAGTAATCAAGTCAAATGATTTATGTATACATATTGTAGTAAATGAACGATTAATGGGTTGTTCCTGGACACAAGAAACATTCCAAACATCTACACTTATGACAGAAGAACTTCAACCAAGTTATTGCAGCAACCAAGAAATTTTAATATTTCAACCAAATACAAAATAGTTTACAATGTAGTTAAAGTTCAATGTGTGACTAAATAAAATATGAACCGACTTTGATAGATAGATAGATAGATAGATAGATAGATAGATAGATTTGGTTATACCTGCCACCTTGTCAGTAGATATTTACTACACTTAACTCTGGTACAAAAACTAAGATAGATAAAACCAGTGATACTTAGATATGGATAGATAGATGCATGCGAATACTGAGATATTATTTTCTTCATCCAATTATGGGGGAAATTGTAGGGTAGAGTAGACACTGTATCCTTCATAGGGCAGCCAGTTCAGAAGATGTCATGGATCATCGAGGCAGAATGACAACTGATTATTCCCCCATGTCTGAGAGACTATACGAAAATTTGAATCCTGCAATAGACTGAGATAATTACTGAGATAGTTGTTGTGTTGCTAGGTGTGTGCTTATTTGTGTCAAATAAGAACAAACACACAATTCGAACCTTTATTTACTACTGGATAAAAATAGATGGAAAACATACCCAGTGATTACCAGTTGATTGATAGTTCAATATTCGCCATTTTGAAATCCTTTTTTCTTCTCTGTTGTCCTAGAGAGTTCCGATCAAAGCGCATGAGTTGGTTTCCATTTAGGGAGCGAGTTAGCTCCCTTGTTATGACATCCATTAGATAGATAGATAGATAGATAGATAGATAGATAGATAGATTTTCTAATATTTGGCAATATCCACCACTGTGTCAGTAGATATTTACTACAGTTATACATAGAAACGAATTCATCTATAACTGTGATCTAAAGAATGCCACACTTATTAAAAGAGAAAGTAACTTACTTAGAAAGAAAATCATCGAAAGTGCTGCTATCGAATCTTATCAAAATATAAATCTGCGCCCCAATTTTTTTTCCAATATTTCCTTTCCTGAAAGAATTACTACCATCCCAAGCCAAGGTAAATGGCTACAAAAAAGTTTTAAAAAATTAAAAGAAAACGGTTAAATTCACAAGTTCATGCTATTCAAAATATATAACACGTAAATTAATCCCAAACTAAAATAATTTAAATACTAATATGCATAATAAAATTCCAGAATATCACTTACACCCTTTCATTTATTACACATTGAATTGAATCACTTCGTGTCCACCATAGTTCGCCTGACTTTTCAGCTAACTTGCGAATATTCATGAACGTTTCAAAATTAAAAGATTTAAAATCCATTAACATTTTTCTGTTGTAAATAATTAATTGTTACGGTATAAAAAAAGTAAAAAAAATCTTTATATGCGTATTTGATAGATAGATAGATAGATAAAGTCACTCTTAATTCTGGAGGATACATAAAAAGTAAACGCGTAAATAGATAGTGATAAGATAAGTTTATTCATATTTATTATATATAACACCGGTATAAAAACTAAGATAAAAACAGCGGTAGATACATATAAATAGCTAAAGATATGCGTATAGATAGATAGATAGATAGATAGATAGATAGATAGATAGATAGATAGTCTAATATGCAATATCTATCACTGTAGATACTCTTAATTCTGGTACTGAAAAAGATACATAAAAACATTGGTAGATAGTTTCTGATAGTAAATAGATAGTGATATATGTATACTTAGATATATATAGATATATATAGATATATATATATAGAGAGAGAGAGAGAGAAAGAGAGAGAGAGAGAGAAAGAGAGATTGTTTAATATTTGGCAATGTCTGCTACTGTGTCAGTAGATATTTACTCTGCTTAACGCAGGTTCAAGTTAGATGTTCAATGTCATATTCCCTCGCAAACGATTGGCCAACAATTCTATTATTTCTCTACGGGCATTTATGTGTTGGTCAAACACTGGAAGCTTTTATAGTGCAACTGAGAAAAATCTGGGCGTTAGTCATGCGGAAATTCCAAAGATTAAAATGTCGATGCGAATTGATATTTTACGCCCCCATAGTATCCCAGACCCTCATCGTAACTCGACCTTCATAACTCAGTTATTCAATTGTCTGGCAAGATTTACACGTCCGTGGGTGGGGTTTAAAACATATATGAGCACGGTGACCTAATCAGTTGTGAATGTTTGTGGTGGATAATAATATTTGCTGGGAAAAAAACTGAAACAAGTCTTTAAAGATTGACCCCGAACTCTTATTAAATTTGGAAACCAGTTTGCCTAGGACTACATCCACGTCGGGATATTTAGAATATTCAACCGACCTAAACATCAAATATCTTAAAAGATATTCAGGTAGTGTAACGTATATCAGCATTTAAAGTGGAATCTGCGAACCGGGTTCAAATTCCAGCCTAGTATGTTGCATTCACTTTCTCACTAATGCAATTCAAAAAAACCTGAAACTCTCTCTACTCACCATCAGTCAAGAGTTAAATAGAAGAGTAGACTGGATTCTCTAGCCTTGAGTGGAAACCAGTTTAAAAGAAGGAAAATTCTAAATTCCAATTCTGGAAACCACTCCTCACTCTTTTTCCAAGAATGCGTGGCTGCACAAACTCGCAAGCCTATCGCTAATTTCCACGGCAAATGTTCAGACGAGCTTCATTCTATAGTTCCACCAACTCAAACCTTTACAGCCAAACCTCGCCTTGTTACTCCCACGGGGTTGAATCAGCTTCATTCCCTCCGTATTCCTTTGCTAAGAAGGACGCTCCAATTCAATTTTTTTTCCAAGAACCACTACTTTATAGAACTGTGTGGTCCCAGAACACTGTAGTCATAAAGTCTTCGTCTCGTGCTAATTGTTATTTATCCACCATATCTTCGAATTATCACTTCACTTTTCTTCCTATTACTTTCATATCACATATCTCATTCAGTATCTCTCTACCTTGAGTAGCTCTTGGGCCTTTTATTGGGTGAAGATAATAAATAAAAGGAATCATGACCGCCCACGTCCAGAAGGGACCTAATATTTAGAAAAAAAAACAGAAAATCTTATTCACGAATCACTTCGTCAGGATCGAACTGGCTATTGCTGTCTTAACAGAGCAGTATGCTATCGACGGTGAATGCAAAAGAATTATTATATTTTTCTTTACAAGAGACCAGATAGATACTTATTGTGTAAAGTAAATTCATTTTTCATTATGAGGTTATAGTCTCATTGATGCACCTAAGTGTTAGACATTTTCATGACGGTCGTCGTCGAGTATAGAATCCAGAGGTTGGCAGTGAATATTTCGGAGACAGTAGGAAAGCGTAGTGGAGGTTCGCAGTGGATATCACAACAGAGTGTAGTCGCCTTTGGTCCTTCCGATAGAGGAAACAAGATGGCCGCCTTCATACACGACGAATACAGTGTTGGGCGGCTTCGGATTGGTCAACCTTCCATTGGTCGACTATAAAGGGAAATAAGTCATTCTGACTCGCTCACTAGTTATATGTATTATGAAACGGCTTCGCACGCCTTCTACCATTGCCCCCGGGTCCGCCCCTTATGGGACCATGTCGGCGAGCTGACGGCTCGTCTCGCTTCCCGAACAGCTTGTGTCCATTGATCGCGCATACGCGTGTGACAATGTGTTGCCCCGTATTCCGGGGAGAAACGAATGGTGTTTCTGATGCTGATGGCCACGGCTCGAATGGTGATTTGGACGACGCGCATGGAGGAAGTCTTGCGGGGCAACCGTCTTTCTTATCAGCATCTAATCCAATTCTTTGAGCATCAGCTCAAGATGAAGATTAGATCTGATAGAAAACGATTGCATTCGACAGTCTTCAGCGAAAGGTGGGTAAAAGTAGCAAGCCTGGTTCGCGTGACCGGGGCTAGCCTTGATTTTCTTTTTTAGGTCAACCTATAGCACATCGGGGTGGCTTACTGTGGAACCCTCCCTTTGGTTAGGTTAGACAAGCTTCAGTGTACCTAGTTAATGTGAGTAAGTGTGGTTCCTGGCCTGTATCCCGGCTGCTCTTTGGTTATGGTTCAAGTCGAGATTCCCAGCCTCCCCAGTTTGTTTTGGTCTCCCTTTCATCTCGACTGGATCAGCTTTACATTTTCCCATGTCCGTATAATATTTTATCCTTTTTCCCATTCCCTTAGCGAGAGTGCTTCTTGATTTTGTCCCCTGGGCAGAATACAGCGGCCTCTCTGTTTTGAGGGTTGGACGGTCCCTACTAACATATGTTATGTTTAGTTTGTATTTTGTGTATATTTTTAGTTATTATTGGGCTCATCTCCCTCCCCTTGCATCCTATCATTATTAAAATTTTATGTATAGCATTTTATGTATCATCAATTTTTTATGGTTTGGGGCGCGTTTTGGTAGGTCCCCCTTGTGAGAATCCGGTATTATGGTGCATGAAGGATTGATTGGTGATGGACAAGTTCTTGTGGTGAATGAGTAAATTGTAATGTATGAATGGGTCGTGAATCTGATTAGCTAGGTATAAGATAGTTAGTGAAGACCAGCCTAAACCCCTCCCCTTTTCGGCCTTGTGCCACAATTTGTATATAATTACGAATAAATACCCTAGTTATATGTATTATATACCCAAAAAACCGTAGCACTAAGTACTTCTAAAACCTCTCTAACATTATGCAGAACATTCATATGTTTCACATCTTAGGCAAAGTAGACCTGTCGGATCCCATCCCTCTCCAGGTCAGACTGCAGTCGATATCCTCCTACATGAAGGCACGCCTTGGTCACGGAGATGTGGTCGTTGATTCCATCGAGGGGAACCTTCCACCCATACCGTTGACTTCTGTCTAGAACCCCCCCCCTCACTGCCATAGATATGATGTCCGTTTAGTCCCATGTATAGATATAGCCTGAATCAAGTCAGAACATACTGTCGTTAGACAGAAGAGGCAGGCAGCGGGGGAAAAAAGGAGCTGATAAATGTCACTGAGTAGACTGGAAAAGATACTCAGCCATTGGCACTCAACCTAGACAGAAGCAAAGAAATGGTCAGGCGCTTGGATGCGCAGAAACCCTACGATGATGATGATGATGATGATGAGAAGGAGGAGGAGGAGGCTTCTGGTAAACACTGCATAAGTCTAATAAAATTTCCTTCAGAATCTGATAGAACGGTTTTAAGAATATTTGCAGTATTCTTAAAATTAATTTTCAATTGCTCCTTCATGCAAATGTTAGCCAAAAACAATTCAAATATTATTGAAGCGGTTACTAATGGCCCCTACAACGGACATTAAGAAATTAGCTTCCATTTAAAGCTTTAAATATATACGTAGAATGTTAAAAAAAATTAAGCAATAAATTTTAAAACTTTTAACCATAAAATGATTTCGTAAATTTTGTTTCGTGATTTTCTTTAATTCGCAGTTAATCGTTTTACACTGAAGTGATTTTGACGTTTCTCTGTATCTTATCAAAATCTAACTTGGAACCTAAAAATAAAGGGGAAAAATCTCCGCTTTCTAAAAACAAGAATCTGAGAGTTGTAAATTCAATACATTTTTATTTATTTTACTGTTTCTCTGTTTTCTTCGTTTGTTACTCTAATCCTGGATATCGTCTGATTCACTGAAATTCCTGACAGCCTGCCTAACACGATCAAGTAATCTGTGAAAATGGTGGAGTTCGTTCTCTTTTTATCATCATTTTCATTTGAAGACTTCGTATTAATTTCCTGTAACCTTGCAAATTCCAAAAATCAAATACATGGTTATTTTATCAATACATCCGATTTGTAAATCAGTTTTGTAAATTAATACTAATTGCTTAAATTAAATCCAGTACTGTCAAGAAGGGGTCTTATTATATTATATTACTCCGAAGTAAATATACAGACAGGAAATTACTAGCCTACAAATGTAATTCTAATTTGAGTTCTATATATTTAAGAAACTTACCATAATTTAAGAAGCTGAATCGAGAAAAATAAGGTGGGAAGATTTATATTGACTTACTCCTTCCAATGGTGACGGCCTGCTTGACTTGAAAATTCAACATTTGGATTCTTTTTTTTTTTTTTTTTGATGCTGAAAACCGACCTCTGATTCAAATGAGAAAATCTTCTATATTGATTTCAAAGCAACTATAAGCTCATAAACTTGCAACAAGTGCCAAGAGTTAAGAATCTACCACCTAAACAACAAACGTTACACAATTAAAACCCTTCCATTAAATGGTCGAGTAGCCAGGTGTTGATTGTGAAGTATTGGCGCTTTGGCGGACAGATTCTCAAGATAGATATGTATCCACATGGAGAGCGCCTACAGCTTTACCAAAAAGACCTATGAAAAATAGTTTAAGAGAAAACATAAGCGTATTAATTCCACTTAGGCGCATCGATGGAGATTGCAGATTGGTGAGCGTTCGACTATCACCCTGTAGTGTCACATGATGGATATGTCTCGGTTCCAACTAAAAGAGTTATGGAATCCAGTCTAAGAGAAGAAAGCCTCTGAATTCAATGTAATCGTGTGTGATGGTATCAATCGTAGAGTGGCTACCCTTCGACTATCAGTATTTAATTTTTCATGATGGATATGTGGATATGTTTTCATAATGAGAAGGGTCTAAGGTTCTACTTAAAAGAGTGATGTCAGCCACTATTTGAAAAGAAAGTTCTGAATGGGTGTACTGATGTCGATTTCAGAGTGGTGACCCTTTTACTAACAGTTTTTAGCTGTGATAGAAAATGCCTTGATCGTGTAAAGTACTGCAGCAAAACAATTACAATACGCTGTAATTTCATTTTATATATGATATGTACATTATTTTTTATTCGAGTTGACACCAGAAATTAGACTGGACATCTTGCAACTCTGTAGTTGTATCATGCAACAGCTGTCGATGTTCAGTGTTCAAAAACTGTTACTCACAATGCAGTAAAAGATATACAACATAAATAATGGTTGTTTCGATAGACCCAGATCTGAACAACAGAAAACAATCATTCTGTGAATGGATAGCTTCATTTGCTGACTTTCGATGGTATTTTCACTCCAAGCAAGGCAATAAAGACAGTAAGACAGCAAGGGGTTACTAGGTGTTGCAGAATATGAGAGAAAACACATTATTAAGGAGAAAGAGCAGAAATTCAGAAGACAGATGACGATTGACATTGTATATAATTTTTAAAAATTAAAGTAGTCAAGGGAGAAAGAAGCCGGAATAGAGTTCCACAAGCGAGAAGTGCGAAGGAAGAAACTATTAGCATAGAAATTACGGTTACATCGAGCCATTTCAACTATAAAATGATGAGATCTTGCCGCCAATTCATAAAGTTAAATTACTATCGAGGAAAGTTCATCAGAACAATTACCATGAAAATATTTATAGAAAAGGCAGGGGGAAGCTACTTTACGGCGGTAGAGAAAGTGACTGAAACCGAGATGCCAGATCAGGACCAATAACATTGCAAATTCTTTTTGGGATTTTATCAAGAATTTCTAAATATATAGCAGGAGGACCAAGCCACATGTGGCAACAATATTCAAAGTATGGATGAATGGTAGACTTATAAATATGTACGATAGATTCTGGTGAACCAACTTTCCGGGCAGTCAATCTAGTAATTGATTCAATATAATTTTTCCACTACATGCCTGTAGGTTAGCCTCGGACATGCTGATGGATGGCAAACGGAGTTCTCTAAGACAGTTGAAAGTGAGTAGTTTCGTTTCGTTAAAATGAACAAGCCATTCCTTGACAACAGATTGTAGATCTTTTTTTTTTCTTTTCAGATCAGCTGTCAATTTGGACCACGGCAAAATAAAAGTAGAAAAATAATATATTTCATAAATGTATATTATAAGAGAGGAGTAATGATGGAGTAATGGATAGCGGCTTGGATTGAGAAATCGGAGAGCCGAGTTCGAATTCCAGTCGAATCCATTACATTCACTTACGTGCTAATACCCTTGGGAAAGGTATGAAGTATCTTCTTCTAAAAGCTATAGGTAAATAACAGACCGGGTTCAATAGCCTTGGATGACAACTGGCATACTGCAGAAAGAAATACCAACCTACTGAGGGAAAAAATCTGCCTCGTCAAGATAAATAATCGCCACTGCACATAACTGACTGATATTATAAAATAAGAGCCAATACTCTGTACGTCACACACTGCCCGCGTCTATGTAATTCATGTTCTTATGTCTGAGTCATACGTGACTTGTGCTATTTAATGTTAGTTTGTATTGATTTTGTATAGCGCCATATCAACATCTATGGATTATTTAAAGATCGAAATATAAATATTTTGAACCAAATTTTATGCCTCCAACTACTGATAATTTCTACAGATATTTTCAGTGCAAATGTATGTTTTTAGATATACATTTTGTAGATTATAAAATGTATTGTTGGTCATTTTTAATGTATTGCTAGTAATTTCACTACAAAAATGTATTGTTGGTAATTTTATTTGTATTTTTATACGTTTTAGTGTTGTATTGTTCGTCATTTTTCTATAAAAATGTATTGTTGGTCATTTACTATTAAGATGTATTCTTGGTAATTTTATTATAGAATATATTGTTGACAATTTTACTATAAAAATGTACTGTTGACTTTTGTTTATGGAGTTCACTATTTGCCCATAGCTGAAACCCTAACAGGTGCTACCACACCGAATCAGGGTGGACATGGGAACAACAGCAATTAAGACTCATCATAACCTCCAATCTCCCGATCAGATGCCCTGCTGCCGGATGTAGTTTATCGTCATATCCAGGACGGTGTTATTGAATGTGCTCACAAGCACACATAAAATTAGACATTGAAATAATATTCCCCAGACAATAAAAAAATATCTCTATTAAATGAAAAGTTTGTGTTACTGCAACGAATAATAATGAATGAATCCTTTCAAATTAAAATGAATAATCTAGTTTTAGAAAACTTTGAAACTTTCTCGGCTGAACAATAAAATTATAAAATTGCAAACAAAAAAAAATCACGTTATTTTTGAAAACCCTAACAAATCAGATAATTAGACAATTTTATTAAATTTTGCAGAAATTATTCGGTTATAAATGAAATTATTTTTTTAACATTTTTTAAAAATTAGTTGAAATATTTTTAGGCCACTCATTACAAAAATAGAAATGCACAAAAAATACAAATCCACACACACGCACGCACACACACACACAGGTGACAATAACCCTTGGATAACAACAAAAATGTATAATACGAATTGTGCAGCACTTTGAAATAATTATGACTTTGAATTATTTAAACATAGATAGATAGATAGATAGATAGATAGATAGATAGATAGATAGAAAGAAAGAAACAGGCTGTTATAGATAAATAGAAAGAAAGAAAGAAAGAAAGAAAGAAAGAAAGAAAGAAAGAAAGAAAGAATGAAAGAAAGAAACAGGCTGTTATAGATAGATAGATAGATAGATAGATAGATAGATAGATAGATAGATAGATAGATAGATATCAGGGAACCAATGATTGGCCGATCATGACGAAAAGATTGACACCAAATAATTAAAAATAATTAAAAATAGTCTAACATCAAAATTTAGTTATTCCACACACAAATCGTCAGAAAAATGTCTGACAAGGTTATTTTCTGGGAAAATATTGATCTATTAAATGAAAAGTTTGTGACGATGCGACGAATAATGATAAATGAAGCGTTTCAAATTAAAAAGAATAAAACGCTTGCGTTAGAAAAAATATTTTTTGAAAACTTTGAAATGTGTAACCTTTTGTGCCTAGACTGATTTAAATGGATCAATGAAAAAACAGCGAGACATTTCTCTTAATGAAGCATTGTTCCTTTTGATAGATGCAAAAACTGAAAGCGTCCCTTTAAATGGAAGAAAAACGTAAAAAATCTTATTGATAAATCATACAGTAACAATGATAAGAGAATAACAAAACAATTCATTTTGAAGTCATTGTTAAAATTCGTGTGCATTATTGCGTCTGTGTCTTTATACGTTTCTCTATATGTATGTTTTACCTGTTTATGTATGGCACGGGAATTGAAGAAGAAAATGACGATGATGATGACGATGATGATGCTTTTTACTGGAAGTTCGTTTTGACGTTCCTTACTTAAAACCGACTATGATAAATATATTAACAAAATATTGATGCAAAAGAAGCGAACACTTTCTTCTTCTTCTTCTTCTTCTTCTTCTTCTATGTACTGTGTCCCTTGATATCGTTGCCATTGATAGCTCTCCACAACATCCTATCCCTTATAATCCTTAGAAGCAGTTGTCCTTTTGCCAAGCCTCCCATTCTCCGTTTACACAAGCTTGTCAATTAGGTGTTCCACAGCCTTCCCCTATACCTTTTGCCTTCGATATTCCCTGTGAGCGTCAAGTTCTCCAAACCCTCTTTCTTCACTATGCGTCCAATTTATTTTATCTGTCTCTTTCAGATTTTCCTCCTTGCTTCCTCGTTCCGTTCATAGAATTCTCAGCATCCCAACAGGTTTTGGATTCAAAGCTGCCGTTCTCTTAGATTAGTTACCAACTAAAACTACAGAACTTAGTCTACTCTGATATTAAACGTATAGCTGGGGTCATCGGTACATATAATTCACAAACACTTTGGTCATTCTCCAACACTATAAAAGATTTTCGACAAAATAACAATAAGGTAAGCTATAGCTTCACAAAAAACATAGATAATTATATAAATGTATTAAGCAAGCTCCCAAACAAAACACACAATAATAATATTACTAAAACTCAATGCAACTGCTGTAAAAGTAACCTGCTCATTAAATGGCCAGTGTATGACTGATGGCATAATATACAGAGCTGAGATCAATTCAGGCGCTGATGTTAAATATTACTTTGGATTCACCAAGACCAACAGGAAATCGCGTTTTTACCACCACAAAATGACACTGAGCAATATCAAATACAAAAACTGTACAACACTTTCAAAGTATGTTTGGCGATTAAAAAACAACCTTAAGAACCCAACCATTAGCTGAAAGATAATCGCGAAAGCTAAGCTATACGATGGAAAGGGAGACAGATGTAACTGATGTTGGAGAAGCTTATTATATTAAAACACTTAAATAGTCCTAACTTGCTGAAGACGAAATCCGAATTGATGTCTACATCTCTCCATAAATCCAAACATCTGATCAAACACATTGACATCGATTAAAAGAGATTACAAAATAGATTTTACGAATAATAATATAATATGCAACTACTTTTAATATTCTTAGAATCCATCATTAATAGCATTTCTTATATATTTATACATACATACAATCCAATATTACTGTACTCGATTAATTTGTAACGTATGTATATATGATTTCACCTTTATAAGTATAAAGCTTGGCTCTAAACACATTAGATAAATAGTCCCGACCTATTATTTTTATTTGCACCCTTATATTATATATATATTCAACCTGAGTACTAGTTTAATTTCTTTGCTATAAATATGGTATTTCATGCAAAAAAAAAAACAGTTATCCTCCTTGATATTTTATTTACTTTTAAATTTAAATTTAAATAATTTTTTATTATTTTTTTAATTCTTCACCATTCGAACTTAAGAATTTGAATGATATAAATTATTAATAATTATTTCTAATATTGTAGGCTACAATAATTAAATAAACAAGTTTTAATACACAATTTTGACTCATCACCACGAGAACTCGAACTCAATAACAGTCAGAATATGTTCCGCAACTAAAGATTGCAAGAACTGCATGAAATTCCGAGTCATGCTATCGACGTTGGATATTATGTATTCACACACACACACACATATATATATATATATATATATATATATATATATATATATATATATATATATATATATATATACGTGCATCATTGTGCGTGCGCGTGTTTGTGGGTGTATTAGCCCCTAGCTTCTAAGAAAAGAGATATATTTCGAAGGATATTTGTTCGAAAGCGACCACAAAGGCCTCAGTTGGAATTTGAACTCGACGGTACAATCACAATTTCCTCGCTGATAACCCCTAGATAGATAGATAGATAGATAGATAGATAGATAGATAGATATCAGTAGTCTAGAATCCATTCTCTTGAAACGTTTTCCAGATATCCTTGCATTTTGCGAAACTAATTTAAATTCTTCTTGCAGGATATCTTCCTCCTTGTTGAAAAGATGTTAGGATACATATACATGGCCTTGGTGTTTATATGCAAGAAAAATCTCCCAGTTGCAAGGGAATTGTTTCTTGAGTCTCGAGATGATTCTTTCATGCGCTTTCGACTTTCGTCATTGCACTCTGTTAGCTATCTCTTTTTCCTTTATCGCTCTCCCTCTTCTTGGAACAGTAGTATATTAAACAAAATTTCTGATAATATAGAAATGAATCTCTCTCCACATTCAACTGCAAAAGATTTGTGCTTAATGATTTTAATGCTCATCACATGTTGTAGGAAACTAACTGATTACCCTGAGTATACAAAGAACTGATACACCTCTTGTAAATGGAGTGTTCCAGTACGAATATAAGCATCTATGGTGTTGGTCCGGTAAATACTGGCTTGCTTACTAGCTTAGGCTTGAGCAAGCATCAAGACGTTGAACTCACTACTTGCGGGCAGAGAGAAATCCAGACGAGGTTATGAAAAAGGGCAGAGTCTCGTTTGAGGAGGTAGACAAACCCGACCCTGTGTGTGCAGGGACTACATTCTGCCTCGTGGGGAGGTCAGGTAAATACCAGCTTGCTTTCCAGCTTCAGACGAATTTGTAAATATCTACTTGTATTGTTCTTGTTTAAAATAAACACTTATACTTTGTAAGTTGCCATTCTAGTTATTATTTTCAATAACCACCCCGGACAATGTTACAAAACTGGCGACGAGTTAATTGGAAACGACAATTCAATTTGATATGAAGCGGCTAGTTCTTCAAGTTAGCAGCGGACATTTTTTTGTTTTCTTCTTCAATGTGGTCAAGCAAGAAACACTTGGATTTTTGCAGATTCAAAGGATTTTTTTTTACTTTTTCTTTCAAAGTAAGATTTTTTTTCCTCCGTGAAAATAATTAAATGAAATTTTATACGGCTATTTTGAAAAAAAAGAAAAGAAAATATAGACTATTTTTTTCGAGACAAATTGCTTTGACGGAAGAAAGACTTATTTCGTACGACAGCCACTTGGGGATTTTTTAAAAATTGTTTTCGTAACGAAGTTGTTTTGGAAATAGATGAATTATTGACAGTAATGAAGGCTTTTGTGGAAAACAAGAAATTACAACAAGAACAGAAAATTAAACAAGATAAAATGTTTGCGCGTATCTTAACGCAACATTCTACATTTGTAGAAGCTTTGATGCAAAAGAAACCGAGCGAACACAACTCATTTTTTTTTCACAGTTGAAGCTATTGGGAATTCTATAACTAAATTTAAATATTGTCCAGAAGATGGTATAACGTTTCCATCGTATTTTAGAAGATATGCAGATCTATTCAAACAGGAGTGTGAAAAGTGGACGGATGAAAAGAAAATAAAGGTTACTTTTGCAAAAATGAGGCCCAGACGAAAATAAATACGAGAATTTTATTCTAGTGAAATTTCTTAGAAACAGTAAATATATTACCTAACATTTTTAGCGAGAGAATCTCCTTATTTCTTACTCGCTACAATTTTTTTTAAATACTATTAATATTATAAAAAATATTGCTGGAAATGTGAATCTAAATTGTGATTTTTTTTTTTATTTTTTTTTTGTTGCATTAACTAAATTCTGACCTGTCCAAATGTTTAATTTTTGTTCAAGGTCTTACTTCAACAAAAGTTAACGACATCCGCTCATGAATACTGACTAAGCTAGAACAGGAACTTGATATAACACTTCAGAATGTTACTGAAGAATGTCAAAATTGTAAATTTGAAGTAAGATATCACAAAAATAGAAGAAAACATTTCAAACGTACATTCTGTTCGTCCTAAAATACGACAGCAGAATATTAAAGACAGTTAGGAACCAAATCTATGTTTTGGTTGCAGTGGATTACATTCCAAATTTTTTTTTTTTTTTTTTTTTTTTCGGTAATAAAAGTTGTTTTCTTTGCGGAAATATCGGACATAAAAGAACCAAATGAATTTATTTTTTAAAAAAAGAAGTCGAACAAGCAACGTAACTATTGAGTTTTTATCTAGACGAGAAATTAAGGAGGGTCAGAAACGTAAATTGGTGTACGTAAAGAATTAATAATGAAAAAGTTAAATTCCAAATTGACACCGGAAGTGATATTTCAATTATTAAGAAAGAAAGCTGGAAAAATTGGAAAACCATTTTTGAAACAAACGAATAAATTGGTACGTGGAGTGTCAGGAAAAAAATCGAATTTTAAAGGCGAATTGACAGATAATATTTCATTTATTGGAAAGACTAAAATCAAAGCTTTTTGTGCTGCAAAACGCTTCCAATCTATTTGGAACGGATTGAATTGTTTTATTCAATTTATGAGAACTACCCAGAAATTCTTTTTGTAATAAAATTGATGTCTCCCCACACCAAGACAAATAGGGTGACAGAAAAATTAATGAAGGAGCTGAAAGATCAGTTTCCTGAAGTATTTTCAGATGGACTTGGAAGTTGCACAAAGACAAAAGTTTGAAGTCAAGGAAAATGTGATGCCCGTTTTCAAGCCGAAAAGAAATATGCCGTTCGAAGCTTTGGAACCATTAAACAAGGAATTCGAGCAACTTGAAAAATTGGGTGTCCTCTCAAATGTCGAATACTCGGACTGGGCAGCTTCTACAATATATGTATGTAAAAAAGAAAAATCTCAAAATACGCGCAGATTTTTCAACTGGCTTAAATGATTGTCTGAAAGCACATACCTACCTATTACCAACACCTGAGGACATTTTTGCAAAATTAAATGGTGAAAAGATTTTTTCAAAGTTGGATCTATCAGATGCATACCTCCAGATACAAGAATGCTCCGAATTATTATGGCGTATATGCCTGTTAATACACACAAGGAGTTGTATAAATTTAATCGACTTCCGTTTGAAGTGAAGGGCTCACCTCGCCTTTTTCAACAAATTATGGACACGATGCTGGCTGATTTGAATTTTGCCATTGCATACCTCGACGTTGTGTTGATAAAGAGTGGAAGTTGGAAACAACATTTTGAGCAACAAAATATTTGAAAGAATAAAAGGTTTCAATCTTAGCTCCGAGAAGAGTGAATTTTTTATGTCTAAGGTAAAATATCTAAAACAAATTACTGACGAAAATGAAACAAGAGTAAACCCTTCAAGAGAAGAGGCAATAAAAGATATGCCAACTCAAAAAAAAAATGTGACCCCACTAAAAGCTCACAAATTATCATGGCGTATATATACCAAACGTGCACAATTTAAGAGCACCGTTAAACAATTTAAACAAAGGAATAAAATGGAAATAGTCTGTTGAATGCCAAAATGCATTTGACAAAATAAAAAATATCCTCACCTCCGACTTTTCATTAACATATTTTGATCCGGAAGTTGAGATTATTGTGGCGTCGGACGCAAGTGAATATGTCATTGGAGCAGTAATTCTTCCCAAATTTGAAGATGGTAGTACAAAACTTCAAGATCTTTACTATTGGCAGAAAAAAATTACAGCCAGATAGAGAAAGAAAGTTTAGGAATAATATTTGCTCTTAAAAAAAATTCATAAATTTATTCATGAAAGAAAGTTTTTGTTACAGACAGATCACTGTCCTCTACTGTCCACACAGGCAAAAATAACATACACATTTATTACAAAAAGCAAATGCATATTAATTACAAACAAGACGAATCTTCACCAAGACATATTATAAAGAAATATACTGCTCCAATTGATCCGAATAAAAAAATCAAATTTATTATCTATTATAAAAAATTTAAGACAGCCAACCTTATCCTAAAAAATAACAACACACCAGTTAAGTCAAAATTACAAAGAACGAACATTATCTATGAGTTCAAATGCCCCTTAAGGAACTGTGTTCCTGATCAAACCGGACTCATAAATAATTACACCGGTTACACAACTACATGCTTATCCAGACGTCTTACGTTACACCTATCTGATCATAGCTCCATTAGAACCAATTTAAACACACACACAAACTTACCAGACTCCATTAGGAACATACTAGTAGAAAACACAAATATATTAGCTGCATCCACCTGCAAAAAAAGATTAAAAATAATGGAAGCTTTAATAATAAAAAAGAAAAGGCCAACTCTTAACAATATTAACTACGAACAAAGCCACAATGTGCTAACCGTATTCGGAAATTAAAAACATCCCTACCACACACTAAGACATACACATAACGCACACACTCAATTAAGCTGAAAAATCGAATCATCCTTGATAATGGCTAAAGGTATAGCCGAAAGCGCTCGGAAATATAAAATATTTGGACAGTTCTTACACACCCTTTGTCCAGAAAAGAAAGCTCTTGTTCGAACACAAGAAAAATTAAATAAAAAGCTTAACTGTAGTACCTTGTCTGTCGTTTTTAATGAAACATGCATAAACGAAGAACTGCTGCCTAAATATACATATATATACACACAAACAAGTATATGTATTATACAACACAATCAATTTTACAGTGGACATAGACATTAAGTTTTGTGTTTGTGTGTGAATGTAGAAAGTTTGTATTTTGGTGAATGTTCGTACGTACGTGTATGTATGTTCATGGCGTCTCCCACAAATGGGAAGATGCAATCTTCTGCGAGAGCTTACATAGATGTGTTCGCTGAAAACGAAGAAATGAAAAAGAGAACGAGGCAAGAAATCGCCCAGTATTTATAGTGTAGGAAAGCATGCACCTAGTGAACAGTTAGTAAATTAAGGAGGAGTTAACTCAGATAGATAGATAGATAGATAGATAGATGAGCCTTCCTATACCAGCGAAAAAAAAAAGCACAAGCAACTGCTTTTATTTGCCAGATTTAACAAAGGAGTTGGGCGATTGGAGTTCTTCCAAAAAATTGCTGCCGAGGTCGATGAATGTCTTTTGATTCAAAATTGTCACAAGCATCAAAACAAATCTCTTTTATGTAATCAATTATACATAAGGTGGTATTCCTTTTATATCGTGGATTTTAGAAGTAAACAAATTAATGTCCATTGTCGTGATTTCAATCATGTTAAGGACCTTTTTAGTACTGCCCAATAATTATCCACCCTGTTTTTATTGAATCTAAGTAGAGACCAGCCGGCCCAAGGATTGAACTTACAATTACTATGTTACCAAGTTCATAAACCAACACTTTAATCCAATAGGCTATTTACCCGCGTGACAATTCGTTGTGAAGGACTTGGAACCTTAAACATAACCTGGGCCGGGAAATATTGACTTGGAGCGATAACTTATCAGTATTAAAAATAAGAACTAGATGAGATATCCCGAGACGTGAACAATGATACGAGAACATTAACAGTCTATTCTCTTAGATTAAATAAACGGATTCAATTCTGAATTCCCTGTACGTTACACGGATAGACATACAACTACTGAAGGCCGGAGGGTACAACGGCCAAAACGGTATGATAAACAAAAAAAAACATGAAGACAATAGTCCGCATGTAAGTAGTGTAAATAAAATATAAAATATTTTTCTTATTTTGCAGATTATGTAGCGCTTATTTCCTCCACTTTTCAGCCTGGAATCAAATAAAAATTATCCCGTAAATGTCAGTAAACCTAGCAAATTTATTTTCATAGAATTCTGCGTGACAAAGATGTTTATATTGTGATTGACGACTTTTCTCTAAATAACACGCAATCCTTTTGTCGCATATGCAAGGTGCGATGGATGTCGTCAAAATTACGCAAAAATGAAAAGAACACTGACATCGCATCTTAACAGATATATTTACCAAAATTAAACAAATATCTTGAAATACTACCACGGCCACCAGACGACTTCGGAATCCCCTCTTCTAGAAAGTTCCCTTGTTTAAGTTGGTGAATGCTGCCATAATCCTTGCCTTTAGTTCATCTTTGATGTTATAAGGTGTTTTTGTTGGTCTCTCACTCAACTGCGCCCCAATTGCAGTCTAGGGTGTTAGGTGGCCAGATGTAAGGAGTGGTGTGCTCACAGAAATTGACTGGATTCTCCTGTTTGTATGGCATGGAGCAAAGTCCTGTGACCAGACATAAGGTCTTCCAGTAGCCACTCTCTTGTCCCAGGCAGAGTAGCATTATCTCCTCAAGGCACTTGATGTAGGCTTCCGTGTTGATTCAGAGGCCCCGTGGGATAAAGAACGGAGACATAATGTCGCCATCAATAGTGATTACTTCAAATATCTTCGTAATCACCATTAGACTCTTTCTGAATCCTCTGAACTGTCCTCAGATTGACACCCAAACACTCTGAAATGTTCGTATTGGAGTTTCCGAAGCGAATGTCAGTAGTACAGCATGCCGTTTCGAAATTTATAGTGGAGTGAATTGCGTCATGGTGGTCTTTTTCTTACAGACGGTGCCCAACTGACCCTACTCTACTGTGCAGTCGAAAAAAACAAACAACGCGCATGCACGAAATTAGAAATATAAAATGACGACGATTTACCCATCGCACCCTGTATAAACATATACATTTTTACATATGTGTGTCTCCATATGCATACACCCAGCCATAAACATGTATTAGAGCCCATTTTTATTTTTCATATATATATATATATATATATATATATATATATATATATATATATATATATATATATATATAGTTTGGGGACATAAGAATCCATACTGTATGTTGAATGTTAATTTCACGCTTCAAGCAATTTTCAGATCATGTGTAACTTAATGGTTTCTTTTTTCTTTCTTTTTATTTTACATTTGCTAAATTCTTCCGCCTCATTTATCGCTTTTTATTCATTCATATCCGTTTTCCGCTTTTGCTTCCTCCCATCTTTCATCTCTTTTCTCACTTTCACCCTTCAGTCAGTTATGTGCCATGCGTGAATCACGCTTAGGCGATCATGTATCGTTAGATACATGACTGACAAGGCAGATTTTTCCCGCGGTAGGTTGCCATTTCTTTCTGCAATAGACCAGTTGCCATCCAGGGCTATAGAACCTGGTCTGTCCTGCTATTTACCCATAGCTGGGAGAAGAAGAAGAAGAAGAGGATTCCTACCTTTCCCAAGGGTATTAGCACGTAACTAAATGTAATGGATCTGACTTAGCTCTCCGATTTCTCTATCCAAGCCGCTCTTCATTAATCCACCAGTGCCTTTCACCCTTACTTCTTCCTTTTCTTTATTCTATAAATTTTCTTTATTATACATCTGTTTTTTCTTATCTGTTTTCTTTTTTACATACCTGTTTTTCTATATCAGTTTTCATTTCTTTCACCTGTATTTTTCTATTTGTTTTCCTTTATATAAATCTGTTTTCTGTTTTATATATCTGTTTAATATTAATTTTCTTTCTTTTGCTTGACTTCAATAACTATTATATATATGCTTTCTTTCTTATATGTAAAGTTATTCTATATCTGTTTTTCTCTCCCATAAATCTGTTTTATTTTGGTTTTCTTGTATGTTTTACGACTATATCTCTTACATATGCTTTCTCATATGTAGTTTTTCTAATATATCTATTTTCTTATATATCTCTTTTTCTTCTATATATTTTTCTTTCTTATATACTTTATTTCTTATATTTCTGTTTTCTTATATCTGTTTTTTCTTCTGTGTATATTTTCTTCCATATCTGTTTTCCTTCTTGTATAACTTTTTCTTTAATGTATGTTTTTCTCTTATATACACGCATCCCTCGATTAATACGTTTTCAATTAGTGTGATAATTTTTTTTATATATCAAAATTCGATTATTGCATATATAATACTCGATTAGTGCGGCAAAACATTCTTCACTAACTGAAAATTGATTTAACCATTGTAATAGAAAATTATTTTTTATAATTAGCCGGAGTCATCGAGGGATTCCTGTATCTTTTTATGCTTTCTTTGTTTTCTTTCTTGTATTTGTTTTTCATTGATATCAATTTTCTTTCTCATATCTGTTTTTTCTACATCTGTGTTGTTTATATATATATATATATATATATATATATATATATATATATATGTGTGTGTGTGTGTGTGTGTGTGTGTTTTCTTCTACATTTGTTTTCTCATTTAAGTTTACTTGTTTCTCACGTTAACATTTACCATATTTTCCGGTTTACAAGACGCTGCGGCTTGAAAGACGCCCTAATATTGGAAAGAAATTTCTAAGAAAAAAAAAGTCATTCTCATACAACAACATATTCACCATGCATCACATTCTGGCGCCACGTATTGTTTACATTCATCACTTGTCTGATTTTGTTTGTATAGCAATGATATACTACTCAAGAGCAGAAAAGCTCCCGCCGCTGCTAGTAAACAGAACATGTTTAAGCTTGTGGCTTGGCTCCAGGAAGGTTTATAGCTTTGGAAATACTTGTAACAGCTATGTACTGAGGTTACATCATATAAAAGGCTAAATTAGATAGATAGCTAACATTATAGTGTAATGACTTAACATACAAATCCACGTCCCTATCAGTTAAACCAATTAGGTGACCGTCCAAGCTTTCTTGAGCCTGGGCATTACATTCGTCTTGGAAGAAGCACACGTATTTTTCAGGGTATTTTTTAGGAAAAAAGTACGTCTTGTAAGCCAAAAAATACGGTCCTCGCCTTTTTTTTTTCCTCGTTTTTCGTTTTTTCAAATTTTCTTCTTTCCTTTCTGTCATTTCTATTTCCTTAATTTCACTTAATTTTTCATGCGTTTTATTCACAAGTTTTTTTTCTAATCGTGCTACAAAGTCACCTTTTATTCTTATTAAGCATTTGATAAATTACATCACAAGAAACTGTTGGATCTGTTCGTTAACCATGACATCTTTGGGAAGGATATTCGAATAACCCAGAACTTAGACTGGAAACAAGCCCCCTCTGCATACAAATAGAAAATGAATTCAGTACATATACAAAAATAGAAAGGTGTTTAAGACAAGCAGGTGGTTTCTCACCGGACTTATTCAAACTATGAAGCGACTCTGAGAGAAATAGAACTTCTATTAGGACTCATTATTGGCGACCACAATCTTAACAAAATTAAATATGCAGATGACACAGTGTTGATAGCAGAAATGAAATTACAAGAATTCCTACAGAAGATAGTAAAGAAAAACGGGAAAAAATGATTAAACACCAATTCTAAGAAGACAGAATTTATGGTTGTCAGAAAAAAGGTCAAAGGAAAATGAAAAATTATAAATTGTGGATGTCAAAATCAAGTACAAAAAATCAATATATATGGAATGTCTTTTAACTAATACACCTTTCCAGATAAAGTTTGAGGTTTTAACTAGTACTCCTTTTCAGTTAATGTTTTCAGATTTTTAATTAATACTTTTTCAGTTAATTTGTTGGCTCCTTAACTAATACTTCTTTTCAGGGAATGTTTTCAGCATTTTAACTAATACTCCTATTCAAATAATGTTTTTGAACTTTTAACTAATACTCCTTTTGGGGGTAATGTTTTAGCCCATTAACTAATGCACATTCCCAGGTAATGTGTTGAGATTTTTAACTAATAATCCTTTTTAGGTAGTATTTTCAGGATTTGAACAAATACTCCTGTTTAGATAATGTTTTTCAGCTATTAATTAATACTCCTTTTCGGGTAATTTTTGGTGCTTTTTAACTAATACTCCTTTTCAAGTAATCTTTGGGTATTTTAACTAATTCTCCTTTTCTGGTAATCTTTGGGGCTTTTAATTATTACTCCTTTTCACGTAATCTTTTAATCGTTTAACTTGTACTCTTTTTCAGTAAATGCTTTCAATAATTTCATTCTTTTCCAGTTTCTTTTTCATTGGTTCCTTAGCCTCAATACTCATTTTGTCTCTCCTTGTACCAGGCGATTAAACCGAGTAACCTTCAACGGCATCTATATTTTTTACACTACCCAGTCATGTCAACAGATTTAAACCGAGCCACCACGCCTACTCTCTTTATTCGCTCCTCTCCTCTCTCTCTCTCTCTCTCTCTCTCTCTCTCTTTAATCATCTTTTTCTTCTTCGTTTCTTTCTTTTTTATCTTTCCACCATCCCGCTATTTTGTTCGTGAACGCCTGATGGCTTCATGCACACATTAAAGGCAAAATACAACCTATATTTTTCCTCTTTCTTCGACACCCGTCCATCTACCCACCCACTATTTTCACACGTGACTTCCGCCCTGAAGTTTTCCGCTACTCTTTGTTTGCCACACCCACGCCCTGTGCCTTCACGGGGTGATGCAATTCTCGGCTCCAGTTGAAAGGACCCGAGTAGGATCCCCAGTTACGTTGCACTTAGCAACCTTAGCGGCTGATTGTTTAGCAAATGTTTATATCTAAAATTTCAAAACATTGACCGCTTAATGAAGGGGATCCTTTCCAATGATTTTGACGCTTCCTTCCTTAATCTACAGATTAAGGGCTGTCATACTGCAACACTCACTTCCGAAGCAGTTTACAATTGAGTAGACATGGTAGGCAGTAAATATGAAAGAATAGTCGACATGAAAGTTTAATTACTAAGTGGATAAAACGGAAATAGTTTCTTCTTCCGGTTCAAACAAATTTCAGTTAAGAGGTGGCCTTACTCTGTGCAATTATAGATTAACTGATAACGGACCTTAATGATAACCACAAAGTACCGAGGTTTCAGTTATAATATCGGAAAAATCTTTAAGTGTAAATAATTTTAGATAATTAAGTTCCATAGTAATATTTCGAGAAAAAGAAAATGTATCCTAAATTGTCAAATTATTTCCTTTCCGCCTCAAAAGAATAGAAATACGTCGAGTGCTCAGAAAGTCGATTTTATTTCCGCAGAAGCGACAACAGATACAGGAAGCGTAATAATAAGCGTTACATCAAGTATGTTTTTCAGCTACGAAGCCCTATTTAAAAAAAAATAGCCAGCATCATTTTCAGATGCGCTTAAAGAGACGACATTTTTACCAGTGACTTTTTTTTTACCTGGATTCGTACATCCAGGTAAAAAAAAAGTCACTGGTAAAAATGTCACAGGAAAAAAGGTCACGACAAAATGGTCACAGTAAAAAAAGTCACAAAAAATGAAACAGGACAAAGTTAGCACGTGACGGACAAAAAAACCCAGCGAGCCAAAAAACCTATTGTCTTATGACGTCATCACAAAAATGGACGAAATCCCGATTAAGTGAACATTCTTCGAAAATAATTGTTTGAAAATAATTGTTCGAAAAACATTTATTCGAATTGTAAAATTGTTTGATTGAAAATTAATCGAAAGGTCAATTATATATTAAACGATAATATCTATCACAACCAAGATGAGAACAACAGTTCGAAATAGTACAAGAATATTGACAATTTCTCATCTCGGAAATGAAATACTAAATTATAAAAAACAGTACGAACCTACCAACCAAATCTCAAAATACCATGATATTAAATATAAAAGGTTCCGAAAACACAACACTAATGTCCTTCAGAATAATGGCTTAGTGAATATAGGAGTTGATTATACATGTGTTACTGTTATTTAACGGTCATGAGTTCAATGATTTTCTTGGGTCTGGTAGTGATGCAAGAACGACCAATAACTTATGTCACAAGGGCAAAATACCAATAATTAACATATGCCCCACATAGGCCAATCAATGGAAACCTGATGATGACCAGAGGGCATATGGTCGAAACGTCCTATCTATAACAATATCTGTCTCAACCAATATGCGGATAATAGTTCGAAATAATACAAGAATATTGACAATTATTTATTTCAGAAATGAAATACTAGACCAGAGTATGTCAGTAGTTTTTACACATTTCTTAATATTTTTTAGCTATTTTCCGTATTTATATTCTTCACAGTTTGACTAACATCCTTATCCTTATTGTTATTATCGAAATGTTTCCAAAAGCATAAATCACCTTTGATGAAAAAGCATTTTTTCGTCTTTGAAATCATGTTTGCAATTCCTATATCGATTTTTGATTGTTTAATCAAAAGTTATGTTTGTTCCTAGTTAATTACAGCAGATTTCTTCGTAGGAGCACACAGCGCCTCCCCAAATGGGTATTTTAAAAGACTCAAGATTCGAAATCTATTCCTCAACGGTACCTGCTTCCTTCGCAATCAAAGAAGGAGATTAAGTCAAAATCAATGTCTGTTCTTCTTTGTTTACCACAGATAAAATATTAGAAGTTTTCAAAAAGCCTATTTAAATGAACACAAAAATCTCAAGATTCAAAATCACATTCTCAACATAGTACCCTTCCTTCTAAATTGTAATTTTTCAACCTTTGAATGATTGCATGTATATTCACCTCGTAAAAAACTTGCGTACTTTCTCCGTCGTGTAAGAGTTCTGATTTTTTTCACCTCGCCATCGTTTGAAGACGACATTCTTCTGGTACGATCTGTGTTATTCAGCACCAGATGCTTTATGGTGGCAACTAGTCTCAACTCGTTTATATAGTATACGACACTGACATAAACTCTAGGCACCCAACTCTAATTCACTTAAAGTTTAGCAAGAATGATTATTCTGTCAGCTTCATTGACCCATCTCTTTGCACTAAATACATCAAGTGCAACATTTTCTATAAACATTCACTAACCTGTAAATGTTTGCAGCATTTTTTCGATAAATAGAAATTCTTAAAAACCACTTTGTTATCTGCATGTGTTTAAAGTGGCAAATATTTTGAAAGGTTATGCGTAGGAAAAGAAAAACTGACTCCACCAAAGTATCTGCTCAGATTCCAGACATTTTATCGTTTACAGCTCAAACGAAAACAACTAAGAATATTTTTACAGTAAGGTTTACCCTATACAAGTCCCTGGGGACCCTTGAGGTAGAGTGTTACGTTAGGAGGCTGTTTGTATGGATAGGTGAGGAAGATAACGGTTAACCCTAGACTTGAACAGGTTAAGATTTTTATTGATCAGAGAAACATCCTCTTGGGAATCGGTTCCACAGAGCAGTGGTTCGGTGTAAGCTGTGCCAATGGAACTTACTACCCTCCGGTGGAATACGGATGGAATGTGGGTGGCTTGCTACAATGTAAGTGCTATGGTGGGTCATTGCCTTATTGATACTTTACAATCAAACTAGAACAAGCGTTACTTTTTTGAAAAATATTCATTTTTAACTTCGTTCAGGAAAAATAAAAGCTTTATTATTCTGAAATTGAAAACTTTGATGAAATGGGAATTTTTTGTGCTTTTTTCTTTTTCATCTCTGTTCGTGTTTTTTTTTTTTTTTATTGTAAAATGTCTTTTGCTTTGTCACCGTTTCAGTTCGTACAGGCGACAGATTGTAAACGTTTGGCGAAAGTATCGATGGCATTTGGTAATGTTAAATATTGCTTATTCAAAATGGCGTCTCAACAAATTTCCTTTTATACTAAAAATGATGAAATGTACGAAATGACGCAAGAAAAGTAAAATAAATAAAATGAAAAAAAAAGAAAACCAAAAACAGAAAAACTAAAATAAGAAGAAATTCAAAAAGTAAAAATACCAGAGAAAAATTAAAATTTGAAAGAAAAAAAGAGAATTGCTGAAAGAAAGAAAGAAAGAAAGAAAGAAAGAAGAGTATAGGGATTCATATGAGAAAATCAAGAAGAAAGAAAGAAAATTAAATGTGGAAAAAGAAATGAAAATTATAATGATAAAAGAAAGAACAGGACAAAGATACATAAAAAAGAGATCTAAAAGAAAGAAAGAAAGAAAGAAAGAAAGAAAGGAAAAAAGAAAGGTACAGTGAAAGTTAAAGAGAAAAAACAAAGAAAAAACGAGACAAGAATTAAAAAACAAAATAAAATTTTAAAAAATAATATTATAATTATTTTTCTTTTTATTATTAAAACAAGATAAAACGAAAAAGAAATATGGAAGGAAAAGAAATTTAAATCTATCAGAAATTTAAATTCAGAAACAAACAAGGCAGAAAGAGAGAAATGGCAATCAATGCAAAAGGCAGCAAAAGAATTTCCTGTTTATAAAAATGAGTGAAGAGAAAAAATGTAGAAATGATGTAAAACTTGCAAAAACCAAATTGTCAGGAAGAGAAGAAGCCTAGAAAAGAAAGAGGAAAGTGAAATTTAGAAGAGCAACATTTAAAAACATAAAAGTCGGAATCGTCAAAAAATGATTGAAAGAAAGAGAAAGAAGAGAAGAAAATGGAAGAAAAGCTGGAGGAAGTTGATAAGTAGTGTCGATAAAAATGTAATTCTAATATATATATATATATATATATATATATATATATATATATATATATATATATATATATATAAGTATTGACTCCTATTGCAACGTACATAGCATTATACATCTCAAAAGCCTTTGACAGGGTTTCACATACAGGTCTTCTCCACAAGCTGAAAATTTACAGTGTCCCCTGACATGTTTTTGAGCTGATCCAGTTTTTCTCCTATCAAATCGTGAAATGAAAATGATCCTGAACGGCCATTCGTCTCAATCCTTTCGTATTGTCCTCTAGGTTTCCATCCTTGGTCCTACATTGTTTTTAATTTTCATAAACGACCTTCCCGATTACATCAGTTTCCAACAAGGCATCTACGCTGACGGCACATCCATTTATTCCTGTCTACAAGGCTGATCAGTTCGCCAAGTTCAAAATGGCAGCCAATGTCCAAATAGGCCCCAATTCCGACGTTAACTAGAGTAGAAGATGGTGTGTTAATTTAACGCCTCCAGAACAAAGCTGCTCCCTATTAATCATCTGAGACCCCCCTACTGCCTTCCATCAGTATGGCTGATGCTAACCCCAAAGTAAAAGTGACCCGTAGTGCCTTCTCGGGCTAACGTTCTCGTCTGAGATGAAGTGGAAAGACTAACTAGAATCCATCGCCAGATTATCTGCTAAGAAAGTTGGTTCACTGTGTCATGCAAGACGATTTTTCTCTCCAGAATCAATCTTACATACCTATAACTCTACCATGTTTACAATATTGCTGCCACATATTGTTCGGTGACCCCTGCCATTTACCTTGATAAAATCCAAAGAAGAATCAGCGATATTATTGGTCCTGATCTGGTAGCTCAGCTTCAGTCACTTGACCAACGCCATAAAGTTACCTCTCTGTGCCCTTTTTTTATAAATACTTTCATGGTAATTATGAGCTCTTCGCTATGCTACGTAGACTCTATGAATTTAAGCACAGTACCAAACTGGCATCGAGATCTCAACAATTTACATTTGAGTTGGCTAAATGTAACCGTAAGTTCTATGCTAACAGTTTCTTTTCTCGCACTTCTCTCTTGTGGAACTCCTTTCCGACTCCAGCCAACTTTAATCCACTAAAATTTAAATGCAATGTCAAATGCTATCTACTATCCCCAAGTCAAAGGATGTACAAGAGCAAAGCAAGGATATAGAAATGGTGGAAATTATTAGGAGGATTTGAGATAATCATAATTAAGTGATTCAGCGAGTCTAGAAGAAACCTCAGCAGAAAGCACTGGACGGCCGTTTCGTCCTATATTTGGGACTCATCAGCAGTGCGCATCCACTACCGAGAATCGAAACCCGGACATTTAGAATATGAGGCAGACGTCATACCCACTGTTCCAACGGGGCTCGGTGACAAAGAGGTTGCAAATCAGATTCGATATAGCGCCGCTCGATCACATTCCGTAGTGGAACTCATCCGAGTTTCTCTTTTACCCATAGGCCCCCCACGAGCCACGACTACTATCCCCAAGCCGCTCCGTCCAGAGCATTAGAAGCCGGTTCAAGCAAGGATATACAAGAGATAGAAATTAGGAGAATTTAAGATAATTATAATTAAGTAATTCATCGAGCCTAGAAGAAGCCGAGGTCCGTTGGAACAGCTGGTATGACGTTATGCCTGATAACGTTGTCGGGTTTCAATTCTTGGTAGTGGATGTGCACTGCTGATGAGCCCCAAATATAGGACGAAACGACAGTGATTTCTTCTAGACTCGATGAATTACTTAAATCCTCCTAATTTCTATCATTTATGTATGATTATTTTTTTTTGTCGTTCATCGCGACACAGAAATTACCATGTAACATGGTAATTTCTGTGTCGCGATGAATAAATGTTTTTTTTAAAGAAATAATTATAATATTATGCTCTGTTCTGTATCGAACACTGTTTTTAAAAATAAAATAAATCTTTAACAGGGATCTACAAATTTTAATAATATTGATTTATTATATTTACGAGAATATTATTTTTCCTTCGAATTGAAAGAAATAAAATTACAAAAATACTTTGTGAACAACTCTACACAAAATGTTTTGTGTATTCATTTTTCAACAATACAACTGAATACATTGCGTTAGTATTGGTTAAATGATAAATACGTTTATATGTGTACAGATGTAATATAACAAGTCTATTAGCTTTATGAGACAATTCTAGTGTATAGGAATTGTAGTTGTAAATCTTATGAGTTAGACGCTACTGTTGCATGTGTGTGGATGTATATGTCACAAGTTTACGTTGTCTGCACTGTGTGTATAAATTCTAGTCGTAGCCTGTATGAAAGATGACAGGAAGTGAGCGAAATGTCGTCGCTAAACGTAATTTTTGTAATGTTGAATACTAGAAATAAATAAGCAAAAGATGTAAGATGGTAAGAATTTCAGTTTTGCGTGACAAACTATCGAACTATTAACCCTGTTCAGGTTAACTGAAAAACTGATTAGCGAACAAAAATGAATCATATTTATAATATCTAGGTAGGCTCCAGATGAATCTCAAATCTAAATTTTAAATCACAAGCTTATTGGCTAATATATATTTCTAAATATTCCTTTTACGGAAAAAATAATAGTGTTGAACATATTCTGAAGTTGAACCTCCAAAATTTACTGTCTGCTAATTCAATTCTGTTCCTACCTACCTACCTACCTATCTATCTATCTATCTATCTATCTATCTATCTATCTATCTATCTATCTATCTCATTCTATTCATTATCTCTCTATGTATATACATTTTCAATTTCTTTATATATCTATTTCATCCTGTTCATGTCTATCTATCTATCTATCTATCTATCTATCTATTTATCTATCTATCTATCTTTTCAATTTCTTTATCTAATCCTGCTCATATTTATCTGTTTATTTATATATATATATATATATATATATATATATATATATATATATATATATAGCAATCAGTACATTTGTGTACCTGTAAAATTCACAAGCCCTCTGTATTCGATTGGCTTTTCTGTCCTCGTATTTTTTAAATGTCTTCTGATGAACGGTTTTGCTAATTACGAAGAGGGAATTCATTCCTAAATGATGATGTATGTGAAGTAATTTTTATGAATCGTAAAATAAAAAATGCAATTAAACTAAAACGTTATTTAATTAAAAAAGCCTTTAATTACTTTTATGAATAAAATATATTATAGAAACTGTTGTCTAAAGAAAAAACATTTGATGAATAATGAATTTTTACAAGAATTGTTTTCATTCTTTTTTAAATTTGAATTAGAATAATTTATAAACTTTTATTGTTTTTAAATTCCTTTAATAATTTGTAGCGGTCAAGTGATATGGATATTAAATAAAAACCATAGCCGCTAATCATAAATAGAAAAACTTACATCAATTCATCACTCCCCCCCCCCCCGCTACCAGTATTTAAAAAGTAATTTTGAATTTTTTATGTGTATAAACGTGCTGCTTTTTGTAAATACGGGTGTCCATACACGCTATAATAAGAAAATAAAGGCAGTAACTATATTAGATTTAAAATTTATTAGTAATTTCCTAACATTTCTTCAGCAAACATCTTTGTTAGTAAGACTATATAGCCATAGTAACTAAGATCCAATAAAATATTAGAATGCTTAAAATATTTTAAATTCTTAAGATTACTGGGGCAGTTAAAAATTATATAAAAGAAGATGTTTACGTTGTATTCGTCATTTAATTTTACCACAATTATTTCCCCCTCATATAAATCTCGAAAGCAATAGTTCATCGATAGATGTGTCAACATCTCATAAAAACACCCACACCTACGTTTTAAAAAATACTTTTCTGCAATATTTTAAAGTAAAAGTAATATTTGTTTTAATTCAGATTAATTAATCTTTAAATAACTTAATTTTCCTGAAATAAAATTTCAGAAAAGTATATTTTATTTTTGAAAGATTCTTTTCTTATGTTGAAAATTTTGGCATCGACGATTTTAACGATTTTAGTTTAATAATTGAAAAATCAATTTAAATTTTAATACAGAAAAGTATTTTCCTTATTGGAAACATTAAATTTAATTGATTAGCATAGGATTAAAGCAGGAATAAAAGGTTCAATAAAGACTTTTCATTTTTTTAAAATGCTCTGTATCGCTTTTTAAATACTATATATATATATATATATATATATTATATATATATATATATATATATATATATATATATATATATATATTAAGGATAGAAAAGGCCGCAAATTTTTATTTTTATTTTAATGTAAATTTTTTACATACTTTATTCTATATATTTTGCTAAACGCGTTACGGGTCTTGTGACCTTCATCAGGCAAAGAATGCTGATTTCCACATATTTAAAAGAATATTTTTTTTTCTTTCTATGTTAAGTTTTTTAACCACTATCTTTTGTGTATAGTATGTAGAGGGGCCGTGGCTGTGATGTTGTGAAGTCAGATGTAGAAGAAACGCATGTAAGGTTCAGATTCTCCTGCCCGCCGGGCCCAACTACATAAAAAGGTTGGACTTTGATTAAGTCCAAAGAAGAAGGCAAAGAAAGCAAACAAAACACAAGACCGATAATATATGTATATACATATATATATTAATAACAAGTTACAATACATGGAAAGAGTACAAAGGACGAAGTGTATGGGAATATTCTGTATGTGCGTGTGTGTGTGAATATTCTGTATGTGCGTGTGTGTGTATTGTGCTTAACTCCGACAAGTAGTAGTCATCTGAATCTATCTTGGATTGGCCGAAAGATGATCCTTTGCTTTAGGGATAATAAGACAATTAACTTTGGTCAGAGAAAGGGAAAGAAAAGAAGTCCCCCGTGTACCCCTTCATTTCTTACTCTATTCTTTTGCATTGTGTGTGTTTTTGCCAGTATGTATATATCTATATTTTCTTCATACATATACATTGTATTATTACAAGAAAATAGTATATATATATATATATATATACCATTTGTATGGTGTGTAGGGTTCGTGCTTACGTGAGGGCCATGTAGTGTGCTTGTTGTTGTCAGTATGTGTGCATATATTCGTTCTCTATATTATATATTATATTATTGTAAGAAAACATATATAATGAACACATGCATTTTGTATGGTGTATGTGTGTTTGTGTGTCTGTGCGTGCGCGCCTATGTGTGTGATCCGACTAGTGTGTTTTGCCCTAATGACACTATGGTTTATGTGTATGGGGTTATGATTTGTTTAGTGCTTGCTTAAATTTGTCTATGAAGTTTTTTCTTGTATTTGGAGGTAGGAGTAATCGTCTGTTTCATACATTGGTATGATTTTAAAGTTACCCTTGTTGTATTTGTGGATGTGTTGTGACACAAAAAGTTTTCTGTTTTCTGGTAATTTAATGTTTTTGTGTAGGGAAACTTTGTTGTTTAGTGCTTGAGTGATACCTATATAAGATTTGTTGCATAAATTATTTTTTGGGAGTTACAGTTTAAGTTTTTCTTTGTTGTGAATGTTTTTGTGGGGTTTTCAAAAGTGTAGAAGTGTTCTTTTATAATGATATCACAAACTCCACATCTTGTTGCATTTTGTGACCCTTTATATTGTGTGTTGATTAAATTTGGATATATGTGGTTTAGGATTTTTGATTGAGGTTTGCTTTTAATTATCTTGGCTGTTTTTAGTATATCTTTCATTTTATCATCCTTTTTAAGTAGGTCTATTTCTGTAAATATATTGTTCTTGTTGTAAGTTGAGACATAAACTAGAATTTGTTCGTTATTGTGTTTCTTTGAGTGTCGTAGTTGCTCTAAAGGTATTTTTCTGCTAGTTCAAAACTCTTATTTATTAGTGGTGTGGGGCATCCTCGTTTTTGAGAGTTTTATGTAATTCTTCTAGGGGAAGGGGGGGTTCGAGGTCTTTCTCAGCCACTATAGTGCAAATCCTACGTGAATAGGGGATGGATTTTAGACAGGCTTTTGTGGGGTGATGGCTCTCAAAATGATCATATTGTTGGGTTTCTGTAGGTTTGTGGTTTCTCTCTTTAAAATATACACTTTTCACTCGTTGGAATAACTGTTATATATATATATATATATATATATATATATATATATATATATATATATATAATAAAATAAATAATATAGACATATTACGTTTATTTATTTTTATAATAATCCTTTCTAGTTCTCTAATTATCTTCTTGATATTAAGCTGAAATTCATCAAGGAAGGCGCAATATTTTTATTAACCTAAGTACTTTCGATCTCCTCCGAAATCATCCTCAGAGGTTAATTGTCAAAACAAACAATGTAACTGTAATCGTTGTGATAGTGATTGTGCAAACACGCAAGAACACGCTCTGTTATAATTATTTAAAAATTAACCAATGTGGTTATGACAAGTGTTACCAGTCCAAGAGCGATAACCAGAGATGGTAAAATTGCAAAATGGTAAATTTCAAAATGATTTTAAACGTTAGTTAACTCAAATTCATTTTGAAATCTTGTTACTATACTCATAATAAATTTTGTTCAGTGTTAGTTGGTTGCTTGAATTTGAAGTTTTTCTTTATAATTTTATGGTGTAATATATTGGTATTACGAACAAGTATTTTCCTGTGTTATGAAGGTGAACAGGAATGTGTTTTTAAATGATGTGCGAGAGAACAAGTTTCAGATAAATAGAGTGTAAGACGTCTTGATAATGTTGTAGTTGTCAAGCCAACACATGTACTTACTTTTTGTCAGAGATATATTCTCCCAAAGGACATTTAAATTGATATACAATGTTGATCTTTTCCAAAACACTAGTTGACGGAGAAGAGTTATTGCGTATGTTTAAGTCGTGTTAAATTTAGTATATAATTGGTTTTATTTTCTACTGGGATCAGTGTGGAATATATTAGAACACATGAGATTTTTTTAGGATTTTTTCATCTTTATAGTTAGAATGAATTTGATTACGATGTAGTAGGTTGATATGCTTAGGGTTATTTGAGGAAATATTATGTTCTGTTGCATTTAATTAGACTGTTGATCAAATTTTAACTTGTTCAGACTGTTAACGCTCTCTCTCCCATAAACTGTAACTAAGTTCTGCTCAGTATAGTTGCACTATAAACCACAGGTGGGCTCTGTAGAAGTTGAGCAAATACAAATGTGCCTGAGCAAGCGTCCGCAAAAGGGATTGTCTAACCGTCCTATTATACGGGAATCCTCGGATAGTCTAATAATTGTTTCGTGTGTGGGTAGCCTAACGGTTATCTGTAGAGGAAGTAGAATCTGCGTCAGTGTGAGAGGGGGGGGGGCTAGGATACAAATTCTGACCGACTCTGTTTCGATCACTTCACACTAATATCGCTTATCAAGCACAGATTTTTTTTTAAGCATTACGCTCTGAGCAAGGCGTAAAGCCACTAGGATGCAGGGGGTTGCAGAAGATTTGGAGCGAGAGCAGATAGGAGTGATAGAAGAAAGGATGAGGAGAAGGATAGTGGGTAGATCAAGGTAACTGGAGTTGTCGATTGACATTATATTTGAATAGTTGCAGATTATAGCTCTCAGGGAAACAGTAATAGAGAAGGGTGTTCCACAGGCGAGAGATGCAAGGTATGAAGCTATTGAAGTAGAAGAGACGGCTACATTTAAAAGTTTCTACAGTGAAAGGGTGAGAGCAGGATGCCAGCCTCGTAGGGCGCTTGAATTCATGGAGTCTGGGAACCAGTGAAAGCAGCTCATCGGAGTAATTACCATGAAAGTACTTGTAAAAAATACAGAGAGAGGCGACGGCGCGTCTGTGAGAGAGCAACTGTAGACGAGATGCCAGATCAGGGCCAATTATATTACATATCCGTCTCTGGATCTTGTCAAGAACTCCAAAGTAAACAGAAGGTGCACCAGACCATATATGGCAGCAATACTCCATGCAAGGGCGAATGGTTGATTTGTATATTTGAAGTATCGATTCCGGGGAGAAAAATTTCCTGGCGCGGCACAGAGAGCCAACTTTCCTTGCGGTGGACGAAGCAATGGACTCAATGTATTTGTTCAATCTCAGGTCAGCAGTCAACGTGAGACCGAGCAGAAGTTGACTATCAGACATTCTAATGGATTGGAGGTCCTTTTCGAGACTCACGGCCAGGTTAACTTTGTCAGCAATGCCGGATTTACTATTGAGACAGGAGTTAGGTAGTGCTGTCTGTGTAGATGTCTACTTGAAAACTGATGACATCAGGAAGATCATTGATGAAGATCAGAAACAGTGTAGAACCCAGGATAGAGCCTTGGGGAATATCAGCGTTCGTATGAAAGGAAATGGAAGAGAGCCCGTTAAGGACAACCTTAATTTCACGGTTTGATAGGAATGATTAGATTAAATCAAATAATCGTCCTGTAATACCGTATCCCTGAAGCTTAAGTAGAAGGCCGGCATGCCAAACTCTGTCAAATGCCTTCGAGATATCTGGAGACACAGCTCGAGGTTCGCCATTATTATCAAGAGCTTGGTATACATATTCAGTTATGGCCGTAAGCACATCAGCAGCAGACCGGACAAATCGGAAAGCATATTATTTGTCAGAGAGTAGATTGTGGGAAGGAATTAAGATGTTTAACCATTTCGGCATTAATTAAAGCCTCGAAGATTTTGCCTAAGCGTGGTAGGACATTGATAGGGCGGTAGCTAGATGGATTAGAAGAATCCCCAGAGTTCTTAAAAACATGGATGACAGAGGAGAATACCAATAAACTGGAAAGCAAAACTCAACGAGGGAATAGTTGTAAAGTTTGGAGAAAAATGGAACGAGCTGAGGAGCACATTTCTTTAGGACTACGGCTGATATCCCGTATTGCTTTATGAGGGTCTAATTTAGAGATTATTTCCAGTACCATCGACGGGGTTATGCACATCTCACTCAGCAGAGCCTCCAGTGGGGGGATCCGGATGAGTCGAGTGTTGAGTTGGATGAGAATTTCTGCACAAATCATTCAGCTTTATCAGCTGTGAATGTTAGGACTTAGAATTGATTGGAGATTTATTGTTGTTCAACTCACTTTGGCAGAGCCGCCAATAATCTTTATAAGCAAACTTTCAAGATGCATTGTTGCAATCAGACATGTCACTCCGGTACAGACGAAAGAAGTGATTCCTATGGGCTATAGCGACAGAATAAGCAGGTGAGGACCAAGGAGATGAACGCGATTTCACTTGCTATTTTCTTGTTGGGATGAAAGCATCGATACCGGCTTTTACCCATAAGAAGACCTCAGAAGAACATTTTTGAACAGAATGATAAAAAACACATTCCAAGGAACGTCGCGAAGGAAATCATGGAACTAGTGCTAGTCTGCGCGTTGATAACAGAAAGATATTCTGTTAGTAGGAGGTTCTTGGTTGGAGGGGGAATAGAAGGAGATGTTAACAGACACTACTGCGTGTTCAGAATTGTCAAGAGAGAAGAGCGTGACAAGAGTCAGGGATGGTGGTAAAACGGAGATCGAGAAGGGAGACGTTACCATAAGGGTTACTGGGGAAACGGGTAGGCAAGTCAACCACTTATGTGAGGGATTGAGTGATTGAAAAAGAGTTTGGATGCCAGCGAGGTTAGTTACAGAGTGTTTAAGCCACAAGGTATGGTGGGTGTTAAAGTTCCCCAACACGAATATGTTTGCAAACGGATGTAGAGAGATGGCCTTGTCTGTATTATCGGAACTGCTATCGAATACACAACAGTCTTGAGAGGAAGGGAGACTGTAGAGAAAGAAGAGATAGCTTACTGAATTAAGGAGAGATAGGCGGAGACACATATACGAATGGTCTGGAGATTCCAAAGAGAGTTCACTAGCTAGCGGGAGATGGTTGCGGACATAGACTCCCAGGCCATGCATATGGGTTTTAGAGTCCTTTCTAAGGAGAGGAAGATAGCCAGGAATCGAGAAATCAGAGGAAGAGATTAACGAGTTAAGGTTAGTCTCGCAGAGAGCTGGTATATCAGGAAACTTTTCGAAGAGGAACGATTCCACACTGCAGAATTTGGTACGAAATGTTAAAGGATTTAGGCGATTTTTAGCTGGTTTATGTTTATATTTTTAGTTGTTTATGGTTATGTTGAGTTATGTTCTTAAGGAAAAGGCCTAATGTAATAGTAGCAGTCGGTCATCAAATGTGACATGGGCAGAAAGTAACTTGCGCAGACTTAAATGTAATGTGCCCTCGGGGTTGCCCACCGGAGGTACGTGCAAAGACACCCTTCCATGCGCGACATGGCACTACAAGAACCCCGATATTTTGCAATTGTTGATCAGAGCAGCCTCTCAAGACGCTACGCAAGAGTTCGGGCTCTTAACTACCAGTCGGGAACAGCAACTAGAAAAATGCCAACCCGGTAGCCTCAGTATGAAGAGATCTTGACATAAACCGCACACATCAAAAGAGATTCATGAGAGCAATACTAATAAGGCCAGAGAAAAGAAGAGGATCCGGGAATTTATAGAAAAAACATAGAGATGCTACATTACAGCGTTTGAAAAGGGACTAATACCGAGATGCCAGATCAGTATCAATAAATTTGCAGATTCATTTTTCTGACTTTTATCAAGAACCTCATAGTGGAAGGTTCATCAAGACAATTCCCATGAAAGTATTTATAGAAACGGCACAGGGAAGCTATGTTACGGCATTGGGAAATAATATTGCACAATCTCTAAATACATAACAGAAGCACCAGACCAGTTTTGGCAGCAATAAGTAAATGCATCTAGATATTTTAGCTGTGTTATGGCAACCGGTCTAGGAGATTGAAAACGCTGAATTCAAAACCAGTCTGAAGAGGGACGGCTATCTTGCCCGATTCACAACCATGGAAAATGTTCTAATGAACTATATTTCCCACTTCCACCAGTTCAGACCTTCACAACTAAGACCTGCCATGCCATATACACAGCATCGAATGGTGTGTATTCCACTGGAAAGAAGCGAGTTCCATTGGTGAAACTTATTTCCAAGAGCCTCTACTTCATGGAACAGACTTCCAAGGGGATGCTTTCCCGATCACTACAATCTTAATCTATTCATGTCGAGTCAACCATTACCTATCGTAAGTATCCTTAAATTTTAACATAGTTCCCACTTCCCCCTCCTACAATCTCATTTAGTATTCACTCCTCAGTTATTGACTCTTGGGCCTTGGACATTAAATAAAAAATAATCACCCTTACTACTACGTCAGTTTTACAACTGATGTCCCCATGATCGTTTTTTTTTGGTGGGGGGGGGTTCTGTGCGTTCATATCTGGGTTTGTGCCTGTGTCTAATTTGCCATACATCTGCACATTTTCTTTTGTATATCCCGGGTATTTCTTTTGCTTTATCTCTCTTTTTTTTTTTTTTTTTTTTTTTTTTTTTTCATATTTATTTTTCTGCTAATACGGGATAAATTCTTTTTTTTACCGATAAATGAAAATCCTGCCATCCATAAATTTGCCGATAAACTTTCTCTTAAATTTTTCCGTTCAACACCCGTGTGTCATTAAAAAAGAAAAAAATAACCAATATGGCCGAGCGACCGGCGGCCATTTTAACATTCGGGCGGGAAAATAAATCCACTCTCTCTCTCTCTCTCTCCCCCTCTCTCTCTCTCTCTCTCTCTCTCTCTCTCTCTCTCCCTCTCATTTTCGCGTTAAATGTTGCTGAACGTCTCATTCAAGAAATATCACTTGGACTTACATTTTGGGAGTTATTTTGATTTTTCTCTTTACAACTGATAGCGAATGAGTCTATTAACTTCCTATTCATCGTTTATCAGCCAGTTTATCAAAAAAAAATCTATCAATCGATATTCAGTGTGAAGATCTCAGTGAGACATAATAAATAAAAGTTTTCTCAATGATTTTTTTAAATTCGTTTTCTTTCTTCAGGCTTCCCTTCCAAATAACTGTTCCATAAAATAACTGAAAGGCCAGACAATTACCTACGTAATTATTCATATATATATATATATATATGTGTGTGTATGTGTGTGTGTGTGTGTGTTATATAAGAAACAAAATTCATCGCTAAAACAAATACAGGCGCTAACAATGCTCAGAGTTAGACAAGCAGAGAATACATAGGTAGTGTAGATTTTACAAGTACAGTTTAGTGCGGCTAATGTGTACATCAGTAACTATAAAAAATCAATTTTCAATTTCTTTGGTTAAACTGAAGAATATTTTACCGCACTAATCGAGTATTATGTATGCACTAATCGAATTTTGGTATATAAAAATTTTAGCGTACTAATCGAAAATATATTAATCGAAAGCGTAATAATCGAAGGATACCTGTATGTGAAATTAGTGATTGCTATTAAGCGGCTGGGGTTATATTGTTCCAACTTTTCAAGCGTGGTTTGTTGGTTTTGAAAATGAATATATGAATTCTGGACCTGTTACTTAAATTCGAATACCGGCCATTGGTGCTAGTGTAATAAGACAGGCGCACAGCTAGTTAGCTAAATCTCAAGAATTATATCACTTGAAAACTTCCAACATCAACAGCCAAAGAAGGTACCACATGTAACTAGAAGAAAAAATAATGACATAAGCTGTTAATTTTCCACACTACTAAAAACAAAAGGTTAAGAAAGAAATTCCCCGTCAATATTAAAAAAAAGATTTATAACATTTAGTAAACTTGAAAAATCTTATCCATCTTACTCGAGTCCAATTTCTGTTAATGCATGGCGGTTAACAAGTTTAACCATATTTGTTAGTCTTTTAGATGAAGGTGCGTGTTCAACATATAAACAAAGAGATAGAAGCATACAAATACTTGAGTTTCTGCTTCGGAACATAATTCTTTTATGTTGATTGGATTGAAAGTTCTCATTTTCTCTTGGACATGTCTGTTTTCTTTTTAGGTTGAGAAATAAGTTTGGATAACAATGGTTAAAATGGTCAAGCTCAAGTCAGCTTTGCGCTGATTTGAAACAACCAATTCACTTCATGAGTAGAGCTGGCGAAACACGTCTGAGTGTTGTCGCTGAAAAGTGGAAAGAAAAAGATCCTGTCTTTTACAGAAGTGGGATCAAAAAATCGCTCATGTGACCAGAAACCCTTTTAGGTTTCTTTATAACTTGCATCTTGGGAAAATGATTTTTTTTATTCTTTATTATTATTTTATTTATTGGTTTAATTTCATTTTCCCACATGTGTCATCAACATTCTAGATAATCGCTCTCCAGTGAGATTATTGAAAATTTTTTAAATCTATCTTATTTTCGTCTTACAGACATGCCCTAATGCATCTTATATCTAACCATATTTGTACAGCGTCAGGTGACTGGATTTTGAATTCGGTGTTGACCTTCTCCTAGATTGGTTGCCAATAACGGCCCTTCTACTTAACCCATAATTACGGAAGAGAAAAGATAGGTTATTACCTTTCCCAAGAGTATTTATGTGAAAGTGAGTGTAAGAAACTTGACCGGAATTTCAATTAGGTCTTAAATAAAATAATCATTTATTAGACTCTACAGTCTGACGTTACAGAATCACAATCAAAGATCTTTACCAAATAACAAAATCCATATAATTTGAACACTTCCAATAGCAGCTGCAACAAAAATTGGTTAGCATATCTAACTAGAACAAAATTAATAATATAATCAATCGGTTGAATTTTCATACTATCAAAACAAAAGGCTTGTAAGGAAAATTCCATCAATACTAGAAATAGCTGTAACATTGAATAGATTTGAGAAGACTAATATACTGAAAAACTCTTTTTTAAGAAAAATATTTGGTAAATTTCAGTCGGCAGTAACACTATTCGGCCAATTAATACGAAATGTTTCCTGTACAAAAACGCCTAATTTTAACATTACCATTATAAATAGTGTTCAACTTTAACATTGCGTAAAATTATCATACGAATAAAGGATGAAGAACTGGAAGAAGTCCAGGAATATATATATATACTTAGAAGAAGTAAAAAGAAGAAAAAAGTCAGAAAATGAATTAAAATAATATATAACGATTGGTTGAAAGTATTTAATGAAAATAGAGACAAAATGAAAGCAAGTTGGCAATATACTTAAAAAGTGAAGAGTATAATGCCAGTTATGATGAATGCGAAACATGGAAATCAACAACATGTGCAGAAATGCAATGGAAAAAGCAGTGTTTAGAAAGAGGTCAACATGTGACGGAGAACAGACGAAATGGTTGCACAGCGAGAAGAAAGAATAAAAGGTGGAGTAAATTGTTGGTTCATTCATGCCCAATAAAGACCAAACGCAATATGAACAGATCAGACAAAAGGCGGGAAGATGAGAGAGAAGAGTTTACTGGTAAGACAGTCACAGTCGTCATGAAAAGAGTTAGGAAAGGCCTTTGACTAATAATTGGTAGGCAATATTTATTTATTATTTATTATTATTGTTGATTATATTGTTGTTGTGTGAGAGAAACATGCCAACAAAGTACCACTGGGATACAAATATTCGAAGCCCAATATACCCAACATGATACCCAGGCAATCTGATAAGGGTACAACAGAGACATGCCTCACAGCCAAATGCGTACGATATGGTTACGGATTTTGTATAAAGTAGCGCATCACCTTATAGGTGGAGCACAATCATAGATACCCAGTCCGGCTTACGGCCATAACACCGACTCTAGCAAGTCGAAGTTAGGCAACGTTGAACCTGGTCAGTATCTGTATGAGTGACCGCTTCAGAATACCAGGTGCTATAAGCTTGGATGTACGTGAGGTGTAATGGATAATGACTCAGAATTGGAAATCAGAGAGATGATCTCCGATTCCGGTCGGGTATTTTATATTCATAAATACCCTCGGAAAAGGTATGCATCCCCCATTTTTCCCCCAATTATGGATTAATTAGTAGTATCAGTAAATCATTATTATATACAAAAAATATTACACCCTGAAAATATTTTACGGCTTTAAATAACCTTTAAACGGTTGATAAGCCGTAAAACACAAATCAATAAAAAAAATGTAACCCAGTCCAGTCGGACGATCTCTAATTGAAAGTGTTCCCACGTACCCAAGTCTCATTTGAAGCTTCATCTTTCAGACTTAAAAAAGTAAGACTTTCGGCAGCAGGCTCTGATGCTTCCCACCATATTCCCGCTCATGAACAGAGATGTAGAGTACATCAGGCCCGAAAGGAATTGTCCAATTGATTATCGTCAGGAAATTGATAAGCAATTCTGTAGTACTGAAGGAGATCTTTACTCGAGCCCTTCTTAATTCATTGAGACGAAACATGCACATATTAACACCGCCAATAAATTAAGATCAGAACATATTATATATTACAACTCTGAGTCTTCTTTGGTTAGCACGACCGTTACGCCCTGCCAGGAGGAAACAACGCATAACATATTTGACGAGCTTGGCAAAACGGATGGCGGAACAAACTTCAGAAATAAAGAAAAGACAGAATTTATTTTGAGCTGCAAGAGATAGGAAATTGTGGAGATCCATGATCGTCTACGTCCTGAAGGAAGACAGCACATAAAGAAAAAGTTACCTACCCCCATTTTTCTGTTTGTCTTTCTGTTGGCCACCCGTTTCTTTCTTTATAGTCAACCTCTTAATACCCGTTAAAGTATTTGTCTTTCAATGTGTCTCTCCCACCTTTCTTTTCGTCTGACCCAAATCTCATTATGAAGTTTTCGTGGTGTCATTTTTTTTTATGCCTTGATAATTATACTTCCCCAGTTTTCCTTCTTTTCTACTTTCTTTTATTTTTACTTCAATGAGATCTTATCTCATCGACACTGTCGACACTGACACAAAACAAAATTCATTTCTCTACTTATCTGCGGACGAAAACGAGGAAAGGAGGAAGCGAATGAGAAAAGTCATGTACGCGTGCTGTCAAGCGGAAGCGAAGCCATCAAAAAGGCACCCTTTGTTAGTATGCTGCGCTCTACTGCGCATCTTCATTGCCACTTCCTGTGAGTTGTTAGCTCAATATTTATGGGAGGTCGCCACTTTGGAATCTTTTAGAGTAGAAGATGAAACAAGAGGATACGATGGGGACATTTTCAGCCATTTTTTTTCGAGGTTCTTAAGAAGTCTGATTCAATGATGAAAAGTGTCATTGGAATGAAATTAATCTCCAGAAATAAACGAAAGGAAAGAGACAGAGTAGGCATGGAAGTTTCAAGAAAGCTGGAAGTTCAAAATAAAGACATTCGTTAGAGAAAAAGTAATGAATATTGGACGTAATATTATTAATGTATACAGTGGCCTAAGAAAAGTTTTTAGCCAGGAGAAATAAACTACATCCAATTTCAAAATTTAATTACGTAATCCCTACTCAACATAAATAAACAGTATTTGGAGCTAGTGTAGAGTAGGTCCGCCATTTGCTAGTTTCAGTTCTTGTATTCGATTTTTCATGGATTTCATCAAGTTAGCAACAATCATCTGATCCATATTTTGCCAGTCCTTTAGCAATGCTTCTTTAAGGGTTGCCACTGACGTGATTTTGGTTGTACGCCCTCGAAGTCTTCGTTCCCAAACGTGCTCTATTGGTATTTGTTGTGTACGATACACCTAATTTACATAAGTGGAGTACCGACCATATAAATATGGGTTGGTACCGGAAGACGGGGGAAGAGATAGTAGTAAGAAGAGATCGAATCCAGAGACTCTGC